TTATTATCGGACAAGTTTTGTGTCAGTGTCCACTTGATAGGGATTTCATTACTACAAATTATATGAGATTTAATTCGGGACTTTACTAAGTGTCCTATTTAATACAGGGTGTCTGCTTGATGAAGGGCCCCTTAATACAGGTTTGATTGTAATTATTTTAGCTAGTATAGTGCATACATTTATTAATCATCAGAGATTGTATTTGGGCATGTCTAGGTCTGTAAGTGAAATAAAAAGTAAGATACCAAATTATTTCATGCAAAATTTTGTGAGTTCAAAATAAGTCGAAACTAAAGTCATTTGACAAAGATTACTACATTGTTAAATTGAACCACATTGAATATCAGCCTGGGCTAGTGTAAACAGGGTCTAACTTAGAATATATTCATTATCTACCAGAGAGCTGATACCAAACTTACCAAGGTAACCTAACCACAATCCCTCCCCCTCCAATGACAAATGCATTACAATTAATTTAACATGACAGCCGAATAATTATTTTCATATTTTGCATATAGAAGACCATCTTGCCAATATCTTGTATAAGACACTTTATGTTCGAGATATTTAATCAAATTTCTTACAAAGACAACATTATGTTATAGTATGGTATTTGAAATCGTACATTGTCAGTAAAAAAAAAGATAAAAGTTGAAAATTTTACCTTTCCCCTTGATACGCCATGTGTAGCTCTAGCTGCGGCCCAAATGAACTCAAAGCCATCTTTATGCAAACAGGAACCAGTTAATCCATCTTCTTCTATGACAAAATTTAGGTCACTGTTATAATCATCTAAATACACCTTTACATTGTCTTTCCATGAAATCGATCCATTTTTTGATTGCGTCATTTACATAGAATAGACTCGCAGTTAAATGACAATCAATGCTATGATATTCTATCGGTAATTTACCAAGCAAATTTATACTTAAGTTTAATCTGTTCTCTATAAAAAAGGAAACCACACAAGAAAGAAGTTATCAATTGTGATCACACATATTTTACAGCTTGCTTACACTTGTGTTTACATCTGCCATAAAATTATAATATTAGAATCAAAAAGAATGATTGCACAGCGCTATAACCAACAACTACAAACAATAACAACCTTGTCCAACAACATTTGAGAAATTAACCTTCCACTCCTCTTCCTTGTAAACCAGACAAGTCTGCTCAAAAGCAGCGAGTCTTATACGCTACAAGTCCCGGGCTTGTGACCGGTATAGCAGAGTTAAAAGGTGAAAGGTTTATCATAGATTAATCAACTGAATATTCCTGCTCATTTTTTGTTTGGAAGCATGTTGAACAGTTCATATGGACAAAGCTCGAATTCCATATTAAATATCAGTAACATAATCCGGTGTTAATGTTAGACAATACATCATTGCCCTTCAGTGAAAGCATCCCGCTTTCCACTGGAAAAGAATCTAATATCGATGTTAAACATAGCTTGTAGCGTATAAGACTCGCTGCTTTTGAGCAGACTTGTCTGGTTTACAAGGAAGAGGAGTGGAAGGTTAATTTCTCAAATGTTGTTGGACAAGGTCGTTATTGTTTGTAGTTGTTGGTTATAGCGCTGTGCTATCATTCTTTTTGTTTAATAACATTCCAACTATTTAACCTTGTGAATATTAGAATCCCGGAATATAATATTTTAGATCCCGGATAATAATAATATGATAATATATAATATTAGAATCCCGGATTATAATATTATAGATCCCGAATAATTTATAACAAAATGGTTATAACGCATCATTGTAACGCACCCTAAAAAAAAGTTTTAGAAAGTAAAATTTTACTATTCTCATGAATAACTAGACAGCATTGTCGTGATACATGATACACCTCCCCCCCTCCTCCTCAATCTTTGGTCTCGTAGGGCAAATTACATGAATTAGTCGACGAATTTTTAAAGATGAGATAAAACTACAATCTGATAAACTGCACGATATAACACAAAAGGCAATAATATCAAAATATTGTATTGTTCCATAGTTTCAACTGGTGGTTGTCAATGATGCTATTCAAAGTCTCAGCACGGACAGTCCATCTTGTAAGAAAAATTTCTTAATCAATTTTGTTAACTCGTGTGTTCTGTCCAGAGCGTCTCGCATAAGTTTGCTTCCTTTTTTGGTAACACCACAGGCCAAGTTAAGCGAATGACGTAACAAAGAGTGAAAACGGCTTTTTGCTATTTTCTTTGCAATCTTGTTGCCACACCGGAATTCTGTCCGCGTATTTTTGATATAGCAAGATTCAATCGCTTAAAAACATCTGTGTTAACACCGTAAATAGTTTCAGCATCACTTGATGCGACTTGGTCCAAGCCAACCAGCTCTTTAGCAACTTCAAAGCTTTCACTAACACGTTTGAACAAGATTACCACTTGCTCTACATTTGAGGTGTGTTGTTTCAACAACCATCGCGGTGAAGAATGGTAGAACAGACTAAACCCAAAGATCAAGCAATTGATATTGGAGCGGCTGATGATAGGTTTATTGGTATTTCTCATGGAACAACACACAGTATTGAAAAATTGGAAACTGTAGGACCACTTTGCTGTTAGTGTTTCCTTGATCGGAAGAAGCAATTTACTGGCTTCATTGTGGCAATACCGCGTGAAAAGATATGCGATGAAAGATTTCTGTAAAAAGGCAATACTGTTTTTCATTTCACTGTGCTCCAATCCATATCATGGCTGACCTGAGGCAGCCCTATAGCTAATGGTGATGCTCGTTGGTTCGTTTGAAACGCATAGCAGTTTATTAGATTTCATAAATGGAGCTTTTAGACTGACTGAATATCTTTTGCCGTTGTCTTCTCTCATATCAAAATTATATACAGGGCTGTAAAAGCTACTTTTGGAAATACTTCCAGTTTTAGTAAGCACTTGCATGATCTCTTGTGATCATATTGTGAAATACACATGAGTTTATTTATCCATGGCTATAGGAATATCAATACAGTTACAGTTGTTCAAAATTCCATCTACAATTTTAATTGTTAATTTAGCTACAAGTGCAACATTATATGAAACTTTAGCAGTTTACTAACCGTGATTATTATGTAGTGTTAGATCAGTCAAATCGAGCTGATCTACTTTAAAATAGAGGAGTGACATGTGCTTAATTCATGATAAGAATTTCCATTGACGAAAACAACTTAATAATTAAGTATATTCATAAATCCATAGCATTTTGTCACAACCATTATTGCTTCCATTTATTGAAAATTCTGAGAAAGAATTTCTTCACTACATTCCAAAACGTGGGAGCACTTAATGTATAGAGGAACGGATTGATGGCCGAGTTAATGGGCACAGCAAAAATCATAAATAATTTGTTAACAAGATGATTTTTATTGATATCTATATAAAAAAGTGTTGAAACGGGAATCCAGCAGCAGACATCTATAACAATAAAGCTATATGTTAATATAAAAATACAATTACAGACGCAATCAAAAGTTACCATGAAAACAACATTAAATTATATCCCTTACGCTCACAAGATTCAATTATCATAAAATATTTTTTGATTGTATCCAAACCAAGATTGAATCGGTCCTTTATTAATATGCATTATTTCTTCAAAAACATCAAAATAGATAGAATAGCTGGCTGTTGCCAAATAGTTTTTGTTTTAAATCAAAATATCACACACCCCACATACAAAGTTGAACGTTGCATGCTGGACTGCCTAAGAGGAGAGGTGATTTGATCTTGCCCCGTCAACCCAATCAACACAGTAGCTCCGATTTGAGGGAAGATCTCAAATTCCATTTTTATTATATTTTCATGTTTATGTACTTTCTACAGTAACATACATGACATGAGATATAATGTAGCTGATTGTTTACAGGAGACTCTCATTCAACAAAATGGTCAGTATCGTGACTTGCATGTGGCATGTTCACACAAAAATTTGCAATTTGGCTCAATCAAAATAAATCTATCTTGAGCTTGAGATCCCATTTCCAAATATGTTTTTCGGTAATGGGGTCAATTATGTTTCCATAGACAAAATCGAATTTATCAAATTGAATTTTTTATTTTTTCATTTACCTGTGAAAACAATTGCAGCAAATCTTTTTGCCATAACGCGATGGTCATACGTTCGATTTTCTGCATCTCTTGATGTCATGTAAAACGAAAAGAATATTCTCATGTAAAGAATGATCAGACACACAGCTGCTGCAGGGTTGATAAAGCCAAATATTGCAATACTGTAATACCAAAAAACAGTGTTTTTCTCTTCGAACTCCACTGGTATACACATCTTCCGGAAATACTGGTAATCAAGTTTCCTTCCTTGACACTGGGGTATGTAATTAGGAAGACAAATAGACAAAACACCAACAGCAGCAGATATTAGCCATGTAAACAATAAAAGTACCAATGCTGTACGGTATCGGATCTTTTTATGATGTAAACCATGAACAACATACAAAAATCTGTCGTATGCAATAAAGATTAGTGTAAACACCGAAACCTCGCTTGAAATAACCGAGATAGCTCCAAGAACTTTACATGTCGTTTCCTTTGGCCATAGACATTTATGAAGAAGGTATTCACCGTATGTTGCCAGATCTTTGTACATTATTCCAACCAAAGACACTCCCATCAACATATCACTCAAGCATAAATTGCAAATAAAAAGATTTTGTACTGTATGTAACTCGGCAAAAAGAAGCCTCATTATCAGAGCAAAAATATTGCCAACAAAAATGAGAACAACGGTAATCCACACAAACACACGATAACTCTCTTTATGCAACAGCCTCCGTGGGCATGTCTTTCTCGGGTCTCCACTGCAGTTACATATCATACTATTATTCAAACAAAGAAAGGGGCAGCAATTTTTACAGGACATTTCACTACAAAAGAAAACGTTTGCTCACTATTGGATACTTATATCTCGCAATAAACGCGAAACTATATTTTATATACCTGAAAATCTAACAAAAATTGGATAAATGAATCATTGATCAATGTATACTTACACAAACTTTAAATTTCTTAAAGTAAAAATATCACGAAGTTGGACTTCTGTTTCACTGCCTTCGAATGATCTAAATATTAAAATACGATCTTAATTATTACTCTCAATATTGATAAAAAAAAAATATTCAGTTATGACCATATTACATAGTAAAATAAAAAACCATGGCTAATGCAAACGTCATCATGATGAAATTCTCTTTAATTAGTAGTGGGTATAGACTTGATCTTCACCCCAGGTTAGCAATCTCAGCTTGTTCATGAATCACAAAACATGGCAGTAATATCTGCACATGATGACGATATATACATTCATCATTTGCAATACGAGTTACTGATTCAAATTTGGAGTTATAAAATATACAAAAATGGTGCACTTACAACATTTCTAAACTACATAGTCCATCAAATGTGTGACGATCAATTTTCTTTATTTTATTGTGAGAAATATTGCTATAAAATATTTGAAAGTGAAATTACAAAATGCTTAGGAAGACTGTTTTAAATGATTACAGATCCATTTTTTGTCTGAATTTTGTTTTTGATCATGCATAAAAGAAATTTTTACGCAGGACAATATCACATAACAAAAAAAGGAAGAAATAGAAGATGCTGGGTGAAAAAAGTAAATTCATATTCGAAGAAAAAAATTTAATTCAAAAAACTATTGAGCAGCCTGCCTGTGTTTGAAATTTCATTAAAAAATGTAAACCAAGAAAAAGAATTGGGATGAGAAAATTTGACAGAACATAAAAACAGAAAACATAATCAACAAACAATAAATAAAGAAATGCTTACAGATTTCTTAATTTGTTAAAAGTTTTAAAACATCCCTTGGGAATTTCCGTGATGTTGTTGCGTGACAAGTCACTAGAAAATGAAATAGGAACTACATGTCAAGAAAAATAACAAAATATAGTTTTCCTTGAACGAAAATCAAAATAAGTCCATAACTATAAGGGGCTTTATGTAATGTACTTCTAAAACATCTACAGATTTTCCAGTTCGATTAGCCCATTAAACATCTCACAGTTTTGTAATGAAAGTTTATTGTTTGACAAATCTCTAAAATAATGAATAAAAAATATAGCCTTCTAGTTTAAATATGAACAATACAAGCTTTATTCAACACAAATTTGACAACATTCAACAGCTGATAAAAAGAAGCAGATTCCTATGAAAACAATCTATATTTCAAGTCGACGTCCCTAGGTGCGCCACTGGACCAATACCACAATGGGATCGACAAGTTTAACAATAGATTGCCAAAATTGAACAATTAAGATACAAAAAGCTATAAGAATACAAAATAGTAAATGCTTACAGGTGTTTCAAATTGGTCAAACTTTTAAAACAGTCTGTTGGAATTTTTTAAACTGTTTCCAGCTAAGTTGCTAGAAAAATTATATGGAAAGCAAAGAATAAATTTCAATGTAAAAAAAATTACATTACCATGTATAAGTGCACTATCGGATTATGTACTTCAAATGCACTTACAGATTTTCCAGTTCGTTAGCCCATTAAACATCTCACAGTTTTGTAATGAAAGTTCATTGTTTGACAAATCTCTAAAATAATGAATAAAAAATATAGCCTTCTAGTTTAAATATGAACAATAAAAGCTTTATTCAACACAAATTTGCCAACATTTAACAACATTAGTGTTTTTCCTTTGAATTTTATTATTAATTATATGATAAGTTTTTATGTAATCAAAGAATGCATTTTTTGTTCCAATTTTTCCCGTTATCTTCGAATATCTCAGGAAATATTTGATCATAGTTTGCAATAGTAAATAAGTCACACTAAATGTAATGGTAATATTGTGCATCGCTGGCATTTAAGGATGTAATATTTGTCTTTTAGAATGGTATTAAACATTATAAAAGTATATAAAACTGTTATATTCAAACATAGCCTTAGAAATACTTACAAAGCCTTCACAGTAACAAGACATTTTTCTTTTTGTCGAAATACATCTCCACAGATACGTTGGACTTTCTCTTCATCACTGAAAAGAAAGCAAAATTTACGTTTTTTACTTACAGTAAGCAGCATTGTTAGTTTGTACACTTATACAAAGCTTTAAAAATGATTTTTTTATATGTTCCATGCATGAGTGAATTATTTGTTTTTTTGTTAAGACACATAAAAGATAACCTTCATTGACACTCTTTCTTTATTAACGTTCCTATAAAGTCTCATGTAGTCTTTTTCAAAACGACTTTTCCGGCACATTTTTTGTCTTGGTTTATTAGAAGTTGTTATTATAATATAAAAATCTTTTCCTTAATTAATTTGTCTTTTCTTAATAAAAGTGTCTTTTCTTTCTTCTGAAGCAAACTTCTATTTGATCGATTATTTTAAAGTTATTTACATTTCGCCACTATCACATATTTGTACTTGAGATGTATATGTGTGTTTCATTTTCAAGTCTTTGCATCCAGTAAAATCTAGGAATTCAAAAAATTGAATTCAGCGAGGAGTTTGACAATAATAAGGATAAAGACAAATAAGATTGTGCAAATCAATGAAATCATGCTGTTGTTGTCACTGGTATGCCTAATTTGAGTTAATTCAATCAGGTAAAATGATTCAGATTTGCTTGTTCATACATTTATCTTTTGAACATGTCGAACGTATACAATAAATTAAGCAATCATGTATAATTTTCCTTCGTAGCATATCGTCCGTGTTGATCACCTCAACCTTTAACTAAGGTGAAAACACTGACCTGGTAGCAAAATAATTCATATTTTACTCAATCCTATTCAATAGTTTTTCTGATGATACAATGAAACAAATGAAGGTTGTAAACATTCACTTGAGGTGCAGCGTTATTCATTTTTTTCCATTGATTTAAAAAATAACCTTTATTAGACAGAACACAGGGATAATTTGTCTGTGGTATTGTAATATTTCCTGTGCAACGAAGAATATCCAATGTACAGTTTTCATCTAAAATAAAAACAATAGAAACTTCAAAATGCAAAAAAATACCAGGATGTATCTTAACATAGTTGCTAATGCTATCTATGTTTTAAAAAAACCAGCCACAGGCACGCGCATGTTATGATTACACGTAAACAACATATTAAGAAATCGTTTTTGATTAAAGTGAAAAAGTTCCATTAATAAAATTCGATAGTGCAAATTTCTGTGTTTCTTCACTCACCAAAACAAAGCGTTTCTAAGGGCCGAGTACATGGAGCAACTTCAGCCAAGGCTGAAACTCAGCCGGTTGAAATTGACCATATAATCGGCCAATTAAGAAGTTTAACAATAATATTCATCTGAAATTTACATAGCAGGACCAAAACCTGTAGACTGACTTCTCCACTGTGTCAATCATCCATCATGTATGAATGGGGTTTACACTATTTTCATTTTCTTGACCTCGTCTTAAAGGGCACATCGTGTTACTGAAACTAATTTTTTTTACTATATCAATATGTTACATTGTCCTTTTGCTGTATGTAAAGTAGGCAATAATCAAAATTATAAATAATCACTTATGAACAGCGAACTACTTATGAATAAAACATAAATGCCTTAAAAGGCTTCAAAAATATAAGTTATACTAACCTGTATTATTATTCTGACATTTTTGCTTAGAGCTGGCAGAAAGGAGAAGGAAAATGAAAAAATCTCTTACGTAAGATATCATCGTACCTACAATGGAATAGCAATTTTTTTGTAAATGAGATGATGTCAATAAAATGCACGAAAAATTAGCGAAACTTTCACTAAATATTAGAAACTATTTCTAATTGAGATTTCTAAATAAAAACAGGAATTTTATAAATGGAAATGTTCATAGTAACATAAATATTTAAGTGGTTTACTGGTCTGAATGCATGACATAGAAAGAAACAAGTATAATTGGAAAACTAACGTTTTGGTAAAAACAAGATGTCATTTATAAGTCGACAAAATTTTTTTCAATCCAAATCTTGAGCAAAACACAGCACAAATATCTTTAATGACAGATTTTGTAAAATGAATGAGTTGTATTCACAAAAAAATCGAATTAAATAAGCTAGAATGTAAGTTGAAATATGGACGATATTGTGTTGTGCAAGACAAATATTTCTTTAAAAATAGCAAAGAAAAAAGTGAGTATGAAAAATGAAGATACATCCATGATCATTTTTTTTCAATAGTATTTTGTCTAACCACGAGTTGTAAAAACGACACGTTCATTTCTTCAAATGGAGAAAATGTACATATTGCAACAGCCATAAATTATGTATGTTTTTATAATCAACTAATAGTTTATAATGATATAGATTACGAAGTTATCGATTTCAAAACTTTCATAATACACCAAATTATTTAAATGCGATATAGCTAATAAACTGAAAGGCACTAACAAGTTGCAATCTTTAAGTTATAAATGGAGACGTGGAAGGGAGTGAATGAAAGAACACTTTGTTTGTGAGACACTTTCATCTTGAAGACGCAAAACTATTGAAGTTTATTTAATGTTTAACACAGAAAAATTCAAGCAAAAGAAAATTACTTTGCATAAACGATAGCTAGTTTCAGTGTATACATAAAAGCATCGCTTTTATTTTTGTTTCTATTTTATGTGTTTTGTTTTGTTTCGTTCTCAAACAAAAATTATTATAATGGGGATTTATCAGAGCAAAACTATTCCTGCTTTAGCCAAAAACTGGTACTGCTCTAAACATCAAAGGCGATATTCAGTCTATCTGTGTTTAGAGTCACTTTGTACTCTACAAAGAAAGGAATGAATTGACAACTTTGGCTCATCTATTTATCCTAGAATTTACACATAAATATATCATAATTCTTATCATTACGATTAATCATTGCAAATAAAAATATCTTTAAGTATTTCATACCATTTTATATTTTCGTTTTGCTTGTTTTATCACAGTGCGTATAGGTCTTTATGCGTTGCGTTTTCAAAACAGCTAACTTAAACAGATAAACAGATGTCTATTCAAGGGTTCCATCTGTCTCGTCATGCATATGTCATATCCTTTACAGTGGCCTAATCAGCTAAAGAGAAGTTCACAAACAGCAATTTCTCAACAATTACTTTAATTGTCAATAAGACTTCTAGAAAAATAAAGAAAAGGACCAAATAGCAAAAGAAATTTTTAATTAGTTTTCAGCGAACAGTGTCTCACTTTTTCTCTCATCAGATCATCTTAACATAGTATTGAAGTGTTGGCAGATGTTTCTCTTTACATTTTAAACATTTTAATCAAAATTTTCTGCATGCAATTGCAGGTAATTCAAAAAAGCAGTTATAGACATGCGTTGAACAATTTTTATTTGTTAGAATATGGTAGTTGATCTCTGAATTAAAATTGAAGAATTTCATAGATATAGACATGCGTTGAACAATTTTTATTTGTTAGAATATGGTAGTAGATCTCTGAATTAAAATTGAAGAATTTCATAGATATAGACATGCGTTGAACAATTTTTATTTGTTAGAATATGGTAGTAGATCTCTGAATTAAAATTGAAGAATTTCATAGATATAGACATGCGTTGAACAATTTTTATTTGTTAGAATATGGTAGTAGGTCTCTGAATTAAAATTGAAGAATTTCATAGATATAGACATGCGTTGAACAATTTTTATTTGTTAGAATATGGTAGTAGATCTCTGAATTAAAATTGAAGAATTTCATAGATATAGACATGCGTTGAACAATTTTTATTTGTTAGAATATGGTAGTAGGTCTCTGAATTAAAATTGAAGAATTTCATAGATATAGACATGCGTTGAACAATTTTTATTTGTTAGAATATGGTAGTAGGTCTCTGAATTAAAATTGAAGAATTTCATAGAACTTTCATTAATGCCTAAAACGCTTAGATATTAAAACAACAAATAAAGTTTTTGCTAATAATACCAAATATTACAATGCCATGATAATATTTATCATTATTGTGAGATATTTTATGATACGAACTGGTCAAAGTAAAAAAACTAGGCAAATCATAGTTAAACCTTATTAATTCCATAAGAAAATTTTGTTTTAACTACAAGGCAAAGCACCAGACGACAAAAATTCAGGAATGAGGGTTTTGGAACCAAAATAACTTAAACTTATATTTTTATAAATAACCAGATTCATACAATTTTATGGCTAAACAGAAACTTAATTTTGTAGACTTTTTTAGCTTTTAGAATCAACAAACTTTATCAACGCAGAGTCCCACCAAAGAATTTTGTAGCTTCCTAAAAGGAAAGTAACGGTCAATATAATTCTGCTAATCTTATCAAAAAATAATAAACTGTTTTAATTTACAAATGTAGAATGATTAATTGGAGATTGTATGTAAAATATGTGGTAAAATTTGTGGTACAAGAGCTGCACACATTTGACATTAAACACATATTTAAAAAAACACGATAAAACAATTTCATCGTAAATTTATTTATAAAGTTGTTTTTAATTTATCATCTTTCAAAATGTCATTTATTTCCTGTAATCTCAGACGTACAGCTTTACCCAAGCGATCACAGCAAACATTAATATGAGTATTTAGGGAAGCAGCTCGTTCATCTCTAAAAAATACAGATCGTCAACAATTAATGCAGAGAATGTTTCTACCACATTTTACGTTTGAAAGTTGAAAATTTTTATATTATGCAAAAATCAAACAGAAATTAAAAATTAAACTAAACTCGAAAGCTGAAAATAATTGTTGTTAGCAAGACGTGTGGTTAGATGGGGACTTTTAGCTAATCGAAATGAAGATTGCATGCATGAATAAGAAACTTATCATTATAATAGGAGTGGAAAACTTTAGTTTAGACAAAACAAATAATGTATGGTTCAAAATTTGTGGCAAATGTAAAAAAAACATTTTAAAATCCCTTAACAACAAATTTTCTATTTAAACAGCAAAATCGTGGTTTGGTGTCATTGAGATATTAAAGAAATAAAAAATTTCTTCATACCTGGATAATAATCCTTGTGAAGACACTGGGTTGTTATTTGGTAGTAGTCGTCCACTTTGTGGAAATATTTCATTACTTAAATACAATAAACGAATTTTTCATTAACAATCAAAAAAAATACTGATATCGTAACAAACAATTAAAGTCAACATTGTCGTTAGTGAATTGACAGCTTTAAAGACCAAAATGAAAAATGGTTTCATGCACAGTTGAGGAAAACAGGTGAATCAATACTAAGCCCTTAATAACCGAGCCCGAGGTCTTTACGGAGAAACAACGGACCGAGGTGTTTTTGTAGTGAACGAGCCTGTAGAACGAGGTTTGTACAAAAAGACAGAGGTCCGTTATTTCTCAGTAAACACCGAGAAAGCGAGGTTATTAAAAGGATTATTATATGGAATTATTTGACCAGAAACGAAGCTTGTTTTCTTTCTCGTCTTTGCTGTTTTGTAAGGGTCGACTTTCGCTTTTCTAGTTCTTGTCAATAAAAAAGAAATCGTTTTAAATTGTATTGTCTGGATTGTTAAATTGTTTTTCCTTCGACTCACATTCGCAAATTATTTTTGTTTCGTTTTTTTGCGTTTTGTTGTTTGCTTTACGAAGTTTGTTTACATTTGACTGAAAAATTACGCGTTTTTGGATCGTGGTCGATTACGGGAAAATAATGGACCGGCAAAAATGTTTCTGAGCCAATCAAAGCGCGCCATTTAGCCGGAAGTGACGCTTGCCATATAATAATATGAAATAAACACAGTTGCATTAACCATAGAAAATTACAAAATTATTTTTTAACCTGTAAAGCCTTACAGTATATACGTAGTGGGTCTAACTAACCTAGTATCTTCATTCTCCTGTGAAAGAGTGTTGCTTACAAGTGGAAACATTGCATTTACCATAGCAGGCACAAGCATAGTGGGATTGGTTGAGGTCTCTGCAGTGTCATCATCATGGCTAAAGAAAAACATTTTACATCATCATGGCTAAAGAAAAACATTTTACATCATCATGGCTAAAGAAAACATTTTACATCATCATGGCTAAAGAAAACATTTTACATCATCATGGCTAAAGAAAAACATTTTACATCATCATGGCTAAAGAAAACATTTTACATCATCATGGCTAAAGAAAACATTTTACATCATCATGGCTAAAGAAAACATTTTACATCATCATGGCTAAAGAAAAACATTTTACATCATCATGGCTAAAGAAAACATTTTACATCATCATGGCTAAAGAAAAACATTTTACATCATCATGGCTAAAGAAAAACATTTTACATCATCATGGCTAAAGAAAACATTTTACATCATCATGGCTAAAGAAAACATTTTACGTCATCATGGCTAAAGAAAAACATTTTACGTCATCATGGCTAAAGAAAACATTTTACGTCATCATGGCTAAATTAAAACATTTTACTTCATCATGGCTAAAGAAAAACATTTTACATCATCATTGTAGGGAATACAATATTCTCATGGAAGAAAGTCATGTGACAAAAAAGATTTATATCATCTTCGTCCTTAAATAAGATCACTCCATCAAAATTCTGTAATCACAGAATACAGACCACTACCCCATTTATTGAGCTGGCTATGTCACGCCATTTATCCAATAGAAGCTATTTATAAGGACATTTTATTGTAAACAAGTGCAAATGCAATAAATATCTATTAAAACTCAGGAAATAAATTAAATGTTTAAATTTTAGACAGCAACTATAAATATAATTTAAAGTCGAGTAAAATATATGTGTTTACAAAATATTCAAGTTACGTGTATCGATTATGAAACCGACGACAAAGTGATTTTTAAAATTTTGGGAGCCATTTTAAGTAAAGACGTAAAAAAAGGATAATATCCATTAATTGGTAAAAAGATAAAATGATGGGTGAAAACTAGGTAAAAGATAAAAAAACTACAATATTGTCAAATATTGTACATACAAATCCTCATGACGTCATCAGCTGGCAGTTCTTGAAGAAGTGCAGGTGGTTCTGGTGGAAGGAGGTCATCAAGAAATGGACTTGTTCTAAAAATAGAAATGAACAAGGTGGGTGTGACTTAACTGCATATACAAGCATGTACTGTAGTTCGCCATAATAATTAAGTTCATATATATATATTTTACAGCATAGAGAGAAAGAAAAATTGCATAGCTGTGTGAACAACATTAAGTCAGTAGATAACATGAAATATTTTGAAGAATAGTCTGTTAAACACAGATTTTTGTGTTATTATCGGACAAATTTTGTGTCAGTGTCCACTTGATAGAGGTTTCAATACTACAAATTATATGAGATTTAATTCGGGACTTTACTAAGTGTCCTATTTAATACAGGGTGTCTGCTTGATGAAGGGCCCCTTAATACAGGTTTGATTGTAATTATTTTAGCTAGTATAGTGCATACATTTATTAATCATCAGAGATTGTATTTGGGCATGTCTAGGTCTGTAAGTGAAATAAAAAGTAAGATACCAAATTATTTCATGCAAAATTTTGTGAGTTCAAAATAAGTCGAAACTAAAGTCATCTGACAAAGATTACTACATTGTTAAATTGAACCACATTGAATATCAGCCTGGGCTAGTGTAAACAGGGTCTAACTTAGAATATATTCATTATCTACCAGAGAGCTGATACCAAACTTACCAAGGTAACCCTAACCACAATCCCTCCCCCCTCCAATGACAAATGCATTACAATTAATTTAACATGACAGCCGAATAATTATTTTCATATTTTGGATATAGAAGACCATCTTGCCAATATCTTGTATAAGACACTTTATGTTCGAGATATTTAATCAAATGTCTTACAAAGACAATATTATGTTATAGTATGGTATTTGAAATCGTACATTGTCAGTTAAAATACAAGATAAAAGTTGAAAATTTTACCTTTCCCCTTGATACGCCATGTGTAGCTCTAGCTCCGGCCCAAATGAACTCAAAGCCATCTTTATGCAAACAGGAACCAGTTAATCCATCTTCTTCTATGACAAAATTTAGGTCACTGTTATAATCATCTAAATACACCTTTACATTGTCTTTCCATGAAATCGATCCATTTTTTGATTGCGTCATTTACATAGAATAGACTCGCAGTTAAATGACAATCAATGCTTTGATATTCTATCGGTAATTTACCAAGCAAATTTATACTTAAGTTTAATCTGTTCTCTATAAAAAAGGAAACCACACAAGAAAGAAGTTATCAATTCTGATCACACACATTTTACAGCTTACTTACACTTGTGTTTACATCTGCCATAAAATTATAATATTAGAATCCCGGATTATAATATTTTAGATCCCGGATAATAATAATATGATATAATATATAATATTAGAATCCCGGATTGTAATATTATAGATCCCGAACAATTTATAACCATATGGCTATAACGCATCATTGTAACGCACCGTAAAAAAAAGTTTTAGAAAGTAAAATTTTACTGTTCTCACGAATAACTAGACAGCATTGTCACAGAATAGATACATACAGAAGCGCCACTCGATGTCGGAACCTTTGATGTTCGTGTCCCCAGCATCCGGGCAACTTTACACGGCGGCCATGTTTCCAGCCAGATAAATGCAGTCAGATCGTAATATAATATATAGTTCTACGGATGGGTTTTGGCAAATAAACCCAAATATTTCTATAGATTGGCCATTTTTTTAATATTTTTTTGTGTGGATACAGTTAACACATCAAGCTCTCAACAATTTATCATTAATTCGACGTCCGTTGTGATAAATGAGGGTTTATTCGGAATATTTACAAAGTAGATATGTATCTGACGAGATGCGTACTCGGTATATGGTTTGTCGTCAGTTTTAATTTTATCATATAAGAATTCTGCAGAGAATCTTGAAGACATTTGTTCTAACATTTGAAATCTCGGTCGTGGCTGAAACAAGTGACAAATCAAATTATCCTCCAGTTAAGTTTATATATTGCAAACAACGTTTGGCAGGACATTCGAATCACCAAAATTGTCTACCCAGGTGTTTTAAACTATCAGAAGCGATGCTGCATGGCCACTATGAAAGTCATCTGATGCCAAAATATTTTGTATTCATCACAGTTGTGACTTGTGAAGCTTGAATGACTTTTTGAGCAAGTTGGAACAGCAGCAGCATGTTGGCCTCCACCAATAAAGTGCTTGAATAGCAATTTGTAAAACATATACTGCCATATGGTCCACATGACTTAACTTTGTTATTTCTGCCTTTTTAAATTCAATCAGGAGATTATTTATATATTTGACATGGATGCTTATTGATGATGTGAAAGTGAACATAAAAAGCTTCCTGAATGCTTTTGTGAATTGGATTGGTGTTGGCTTGGCAGTTCCCCTGTCAAATGTTTTAAAAAAGTTTTCTGGTGTATCTGTGTTTCACCTTTTGGTAAACATTTTACTGTGTAAAGTATTACGATTTAAATAATGGCATTAAGAGTAACTATAACTGGTTTTTGTCAGAATAAGTTCTGTTTGTGACATGATTACTTACAATAAAAATTTTAATTTACTGAATGAAGTTTATGGATTTTAGCAAAAATTTAATTTTCGAGCCCTTTGTTGCAATAATTTCTCTCTGCTGGTTGATCAATGTGGTGAATCAAACATAATTCTAATCATTTTTCACATACAATTGTTGGTCACAACTCACAAGTGAAGTTTAACCAAAGAGCTAAGCTGTAGTTGCTTGACAATATGTTTGACATAATGGTAAAGTTGTTAATTTAATTGTAACAATTTATCAATAACTTCATTCTTTAAAAAATTGTAATTTCATATATTGTTTATTAAAAATAAGACAACAAAAAACATCTTTATTTGTAAGTTAATACAAATTTGACAGACATGATAGCCACAGGAACTCAATATACAATTACAAATAAAAACTTTCAATTACAATTATGCAGACAAGCTACATTGCAAAAAAGCCCCGATTCAAGAATCAAATATAAATTAGTTTAGTCCAAATTTTATACCAATAACGTCTTCATCTGAAGAACGTTCTTTACGCACAGTAGGTCGTTTTATCGTTTCTATCAAATCCGTTGACCATTCTAATAGGAAACTCTTTACTAGAAAATACAGAAATGGAATCACACTAAATATATTTATTACTTTTGTCCTAAATTATAAATTCTTAGGGCAACTGCCGTTCAATATAAGAGACGTTCTAAACATGGATCTTGCATACAGTTCAAGGCAAGAAACTATAAAACCCGTAAAATTACATTTGAAGAACGTATTTTACAACAAAACTGTTTCTCACCTCATATGCTTGGTATCCTATCCGATGGCATTAAAAATTTTGTCCATAAGTGAATTTAAATTCGTCAAATTTTCGAAAAACAACTCTTCATAATATTAATCTATATACATTCTGACCAGTTTATCTGGCTGGAGTAATGGCGGACGCAAAAGATGCGCACTTAAGGACTGGTACGAGTAGGGGACAGATTTTTCGCTGAGTGGCGCTTCTGTATGTATCTATTCTGTGGCATTGTCGTGATACATGATACACCCTCCCTTCCTCAATCTTTGGTCTCGTAGGGCAAATTACATGAATTAGTCGACGAATTTTTAAAGATGAGATAAAACTACAATTTGATGTACTGCGCTATATAACACAAAAGACAATAATATCAAAATATTATATTGTTCCATAGTTTCAACTGGTGGTCTTCAATGATGCTATTCAAAGCCTCAGCACGTACAGTCCATCTTGTAAGAAAAATTTTCTTAATCAATTTTGTTAACTCATGTGTTCTGTCCAGAGCGTGTCGCATAAGTTTGCTTCGTTTTGTGGTAACACCACAGGCCAAGTTGAGCGAATGACCTAACAAAAAGTGAAAACAGCTTTTTGTTATTCTTTTTGCAATCTTCTTCCCACACCGGAATTCTGTCTGCGTATTTTTGATATAGCAAGATTCAATCACTTAAAAACATCTGTGATAACACCGTAAATAGTTTCAGCATCACTTGATGCGACTTGGTCCAAGCCGACCAGCTCTTTAGCAACTTCAAAGCTTTCACTAACACGTTTGAACAAGATTACCACTTGCTCTACATTTGCGGCGTGCGTTGTTTCAACAACCATCGCGGTGAAAAATGGTAGAACAGACTAGACCCAAAGATCAAGCAATTGATATTGGAGCGGCTGATGATAGGTTTATTGGTATTTCTCATGGAACAACAAACAGTATTGAAAAAATTGGAAACTGTAGGACCACTTTGCTGTTAGTGTTTCCTTGATCGGAAGAAGCAATTTACTGCCTTCATTGTGGCAATACCGCGTGAAAAAGATATACGATGAAAGATTTCTGTAAAAAGGCAAAACTGTTTTTCATTTCACTGTGTTCCAATCCATATCAAGGCTGACCTGAAGCAGCCCTATAGCTAATGGTGATGCTCGTTCGTTCGTTTGAAACGCATAGCAGTTTCTTAGATTTCATAAATGGAGCTTTTAGACTGACTGAATATCTTTTGCCGTTGTCTTCTCTCATATTAAAATTATATACAGGGCTGTAAAAGCTACTTTTTGGAACTACTTCCAGTTTTAGTAAGCAAGTGCATGGTCTCTTGTGATCATATTGCGAAATACACACATGAGTTTATTTATCCATGGCTATAGGAATATCAATACAGTTACACAGTTGTTCAAAATTCCACCTACAATTTCAATTGTTAATTTAGCTACAAGTGCGACTTTACATTTAGCAGTTTACTAACTGTGATTATTATGTAGTGCTAGATCAGTCAAATCGAGCTGATCTACTTGAAAATAGAGGAGTGAAATGTGCTTAATTCATGATAAGAATTTCCATTGACGAAAACAACTTAATAATTAAGTATATTCATAAAGCCATAGCATTTTGTCACAACCATTATTGCTTCCATTTATTGAAAATTCTGAGAAAGAATTTCTTCACTACAGTCCAAAACGTGGGAGCACTTAATGTATAGAGGAACGGATTGATGGCCGAGTTAATGGGCACAACAAAAATCATAAAATATTTTTTAATAAAATGATTTTCATCGTGATCTATAAAAAAAAGTGTTGAAACGGGAATCCAGCAGCAGACATCTATAACAATAAAGCTATATGTCAATATAAAAACACAATTACAGACGCAATCAAAAGTTACCATGAAAACAACATTAAATTATATCCCTTACGCTCACAAAATTCAATTATCATGAAATATTTTTTTAATTGTATCCAAACCAAGGTTGAATCGGTCCTTTATTAATATGCATTATTTCTTCAAAAACATCAAAATAGATAGAATAGCTGACGGTTGCCAAATACTTTTTGTTTTAAATCAAAATATCACACGACCCACATACAAAGTTGAACGTTGCATGCTGGACTGCCTAAGAGGAGAGGTGATTTGATCTTGCCCCGTCAACCCAATCAACACGGTAGCTCCGATTTGAGGGAAGATCTCAAATTCCATTTTTATTATATTTTTATGTTTATGTACTTTCTACAGTAACATACATGACATGAGATATAATGTAGCTGATTCTTTACAGGAGACTCTCATTCAACAAAATGGTCAGTATCGTGACTTGCATGGGGCATGCTCACACAAAAATTTGCAATTTGGCTCAATCAAAATAAATCTATATTGAGCTTGAGATCCCATTTCCAAACATGTTTTTCGGTGTTGGGGTCAATTATGTTTCCATAGACAAAATCGAATTTATCAAATTGAATTTTTTATTTTTTCATTTACCTGTGAAAACAATTGCAGCAAATCTTTTTGCCATAACGCGATGGTCATACGTTCGATTTTCTGCATCTCTTGATGTCATGTAAAACGAAAAGAATATTCTCATGTAGAGGATGATCAGACACACAGCTGCTGCAGGGTTGATAACGCCAAATATTGCAATACTGTAATACCAAAAAACAGTGTTTTTCTCTTTGAACTCCACTGGTATACACATCTTCCGGAATAACTGGTAATCAAGTTTCCTTCCTTGACACTGGGGTATGTAATTAGGAAGACAAATAGACAAAACACCAACAGCAGCAGATATTAGCCATGTAAACAATAAAAGTACCGATGCTGTACGGTATCGGATCTTTTTATGATGTAAACCATGAACAACATACAAAAATCTGTCGTATGCAATAAAGATTAGTGTAAACACCGAAACCTCGCTTGAAATAATCGAGATAGCTCCAAGAACTTTACATGTCGTTTCCTTTGGCCATAGACATTTATGATGAAGGTATTCACCGTATGTTGCCAGATCTTTGTACATTATGCCAACCAAATACACTCCCATCAACATATCACTCAGGCATAAATTGCAGATAAAAAGATTTTGTACTGTATGTAACTCGGCAAAAAGAAGCCTCATTATCAGAGCAAAAATATTGCCAACAAAAATGAGAACAACGGTAATCCACACAAACACACGATAACCTTCTTCATGCAATAACCTCCGTGGGCATTTCTTTCTCGGGTCTCCATTGCAGTTACATGTCATACTATTATTCAAACAAAGAAAGGGGCAGCAATTTTCACAGGACACTTCACTACAAAAGAAAACGTTTGCTTACTATTGGATACTTATATCTCGCAATAAACGCGAAACTATCTTTTACATACCTGAAAATCTAACAAAAATTGGATAAATGAATCATTGATCAATGTATACTTACACAATCTTTAAATTTCTTAAAGTAAAAATATCACGAAGTTGGACTTTTGTTTCACTGCTATTGAATGATCTAAATATTAAAATACGATCTTAATTATTACTCTCAATATTGATAAAAAAAAAATATTCAGTTATGACCACATTACATAGTAAAATAAAAAAGCATGGCTAATGCAAACGTCATCATGATGAAATTCTCTTTAATTAGTAGTGGGTATAGACTTGATCTTCACACCAGGTTAGCAATCTCAACTTGTTCATGAATCACAAAACATGGCAGTAATATCTGCACATGATGACGATATATACATTCATCTTTTGCAACACGAGTTACTGATTCAAATTTGGAGTTATAAAATATACAAAAATGGTGCACTTACAACATTTCTAAACTACATAGTCCATCAAATGTGTGACGATCAATTTTCTTTATTTTATTGTTAGAAATATTGCTATAAAATATTTGAAAGTGAAATTACAAAATGCTTAGGAAGGTTGTTTTAAATGATTACAGATCCATTTTTTGTCTGAATTTTGTTTTTGATCATGCATAAAAGAAATTTTTACGCAGGACAATATCACATAACAAAAAAGAAAGAAATAGAAGATGCTGGGTGAAAAAAGTAAATTCATATTCGAAGAAAAAAATTTAATTCAAAAAACTATTGACCAGCCTGCCTGTGTTTGAAATTTCATTAAAAAATGTAAACCAAGAAAAAGAATTGGGATGAGAAAATTTGACAGAACATAAAAACAGAAAACATAATCAACAAACAATAAATAAAAAAATGCTTACAGATTTCTTAATTTGTTAAGAGTTTTAAAACATCCCTTGGGAATTTCCGCGATGTTGTTGCGTGACAAGTCACTAGAAAATGAAATAGGAACTACATGTCAAGAAATAACAACATATAGTTTTCCTTGAACGAAAATCAAAATAAGTCCATAACTATAAGGGGCTTTATGTAATGTACTTCTAAAACATCTACAGATTTTCCAGTTCGATTAGCCCATTAAACATCTCACAGTTTTGTAATGAAAGTTTATTGTTTGACAAATCTCTAAAATAATGAATAAAAAATATAGCCTTCTAGTTTAAATATGAACAATACAAGCTTTATTCAACACAAATTTGACAACATTTAACAGCTGATAAAAAGAAGCAGATTCCTATGAAAACAATCTATATTTCAAGTCGACGTCCCTAGGTGCGCCACTGGACCAATACCACAATGGGATCGACAAGTTTAACAATAGATTGCCAAAATTGAACAATTAAGATAGAAAAACAAAGCTATAAGAATACAAAATAGTAAATGCTTACAGGTGTTTCAAATTGGTCAAACTTTTAAAACAGTCTGTTGGAATTTTTTTTAAACTGTTTCCAGCCAAGTTGCTAGAAAAATTATATGGAAAGCAAAGAATAAATTTCAATGTGAAAAAAGAAATTACATTACCATGGATAAGTGCACTATCGGATTATGTACTTCAAATGCACTTACAGATTTTCCAGTTCGGTTAGCCCATTAAACATCTCACAGTTTTGTAATGAAAGTTTATTGTTTGACAAATCTCTAAAATAATGAATAAAAAATATAGCCTTCTAGTTTAAATATGAACAATACAAGCTTTATTCAACACAAATTTGCCAACATTTAACAACATTGTTTTTTTCCTTTGAATTTTATGATTAATTATATGATAAGTTTTTATGTAATCAAAGAATGCATTTCTTGTTCCAATTTTTTCCCGTTATCTTCGAATATCTCAGGAAATATTTGATCATAGTTTGCAATAGTAAATAAGTCACACTAAATGTAATGGTAATATTGTGCATCGCTGGCATTTAAGAATGTAATATTTGTCTTTTAGAATGGTATTAAACATTAAAATAGAATATAAAACTGTTATATTCAAACATAGCCTTAGAAATACTTACAAAGCCTTCACAGTAACAAGACATTTTTCTTTTTGTCGAAATACATCTCCACAGATACGTTGGACTTTCTTTCATCACTGAAAAGAAAGCAAAATTTACGTTTTTACTTATAGTAAGCAGCATTGTTAGTTTGTACACTTATACAAAGCTTTAAAATGATTTTTTATATGTTCCATGCATGAGTGAATTATTTGTTTTTGTCAAGACACATGAAAGATAACCTTCATTAACACTCTTTCTTTATTAACGTTCTTATAAAGTCTCATGTAGTCTTTTTCAAAACGACTTTTCCGGCACATTTTTTGTCTTGGTTTATTAGAAGTTGTTATTATAATATAAAAATCTTTTCCTTAATTAATTTGTCTTTTCTTAATAAAAGTGTCTTTTCTTTCTTCTGAAGCAAACTTCTATTTAATCGATTATTTTAAAGTTATTTACATTTTGGCATTATCACATATTTGTACTTGAGATGTATATGTGTGTTTCATTTTCAAGTCTTTGCATCCAGTAAAATCTAGGAATTCAAAAAATTGAATTCAGCGAGGAGTTTGACAATAATAAGGATAAAGACAAATAATATGTTGTTGTCACTGGTATGCCTAATTTCAGTTAATTTAATCAGGTAAAATGATTCAGATTTGCTTGTTCATACATTTATCTTTTGAACATGTCGAACGTATACAATAAATTAAGCAATCATGTATAATTTTCCTTCGTAGCATATCGTCCGTGTTAATCACCTCAACCTTTAACTAAGGTGAAAACACTGACCTGGTGGCAAAATAATTCATATTTTACTCAATCCTATTCAATAGTTTTTGTGATGATACAATGAAACAAATGAAGGTTGTAAACATTCACTTGAGGTGCAGCGTTATTCATTTTTTTCCCATTGATTTAAAAAATAACCTTTATTAGACAGAACACAGGAGTAATTTGTCTGTTGTATTGTAATATTTCCTGTGCAACGAAGAATATCCAATGTACAGTTTTCATCTAAAATAAAAACAATAGACATGAGAACTTCAAAAAGAAAAAAATACTAGGATGTATTTTAACATAGTTGCTAAAGTTATCTATGTTTTAAAGAAAAACCAGCCACAGGCACGCGCATGTTATGATTACACGTAAACAACATATTAAGAAATCGTTTTTGATTAAAGTGAAAAAGTTCCATTAATAAAATTCAATAGTGCAAATTTCTGTGTTTCTTCACTCACCAAAACAAAGCGTTTCTAAGGGGCCGAGTACATGGAGCAACTTCAGCCAAGGCTGAAACTCAGCCCGGGTTGAAATTGACCATATAATCGGCCAATTAAGAAGTTTAACAATAATATTCATCTGAAATTTACATAGCAGGACCAAAACCTGTAGACTGACTTCTCCACTGTGTCAATCATCCATCATGTATGAATGAGGTTTACACTATTTTTCATTTTCTTGACCTCGTCTTAAAGGGCACATCGTGTTACTGAAACTAATTTTTTTTACTATATCAATATGTTACATTGTCATTTTGCTGTATGTAAAGTAGGCAATAATCAAAATTATAAATAATCACTTATGAACAGCGAACTGCTTATGAATAAAACATAAATGCCTTAAAAGGCTTAAAAAAAATGTTATACTAACCTGTATTATTATTTTGACATTTTTGCTTAGAGCTGGCAGAAAGGAGAAGGAAAATGAAAAAATCTCTTACGTAAGATATCATCGTACCTACAATGGAATAGCAATTTTTTTGTAAATGAGATGATATCAATAAAATGCACGAAAAATTAGCAAAACTTTCACTAAATATTAGAAACTATTTCTAATTGAGATTTCTAAATAAAAACAGGAATTTTATAAATGGAAATATTCATAGTAACATAAATATTTAAGTGGTTTACTGGTCTGAATGCATGACATAGAAAGAAACAAGTATAATTGGAAAACTAACGCTTTGGTAAAAACAAGATGTCATTTATAAGTCGACAAAATTTTTTTCAATCCAAATCTTGAGCAAAACACAGCACAAATATCTCTAATGACAGATTTTGTAAAATGAATGAGTTGTATTCACAAGAAATTGAATTAAATAAGCTAGTATGCAAGTTGAAATATGGGCGATATTGTGTTGTGCAAGACAAATATTTCTTTAAAAATAGCAAAGAAAAAAGTGAGTATGAAAAATGAAGATACATCCATGATCATTTTTTTTCAATAGTATTTTGTCCAACTTCCATCCACAAGTTGTAAAAACTACACGTTCATTTCTTCAAATGGAGAAAATGTACATATTGCAACAGCCATAAATTATGTATGTTTTTATAATCAACTAATAGTTTATAATGATATAGATTACGAAGTTATCGATTTCAAAACTTTCATAATACACCAAATTATTTAAATGCGATATAGCTAATAAACTGAAAGGCACTAACAAGTTGCAATCTTTAAGTTATAAATGGAGAGGTGGAAGGAGAGGGGGAGTGAATGAAAGAACACTTTGTTTGTGAGACACTTTCATCTTGAAGACGCAAAGCGATTGAAGTTTATTTAATGTTTAACACAGAAAAATTCAAACAAAAGAAAATTACTTTGCATAAACGATAGCTAGTTTCAGTGTATACATAAAAGCATTGCTTTTATTTTTTGTTTCTATTTTATGTGTTTTGTTTTGTTTCGTTCTCAAACAAAAATTGTTATAATGGGGATTTATCAGAGCAAAACTATTCCTGCTTTAGCCAAAAACTAGTACTGCTCCAAACATCAAAGGCGATATTCAGTCTATCTGTGTTTAGAGTCACTTTGTACTCTACAAAGAAAGGAATGAATTGACAACTTTGGCTCATCTATTTATCCTAGAATTTACACATAAATATATCATAATTCTTATCATTACGATTAATCATTGCAAATAAAAATATCTTTAAGTATTTCATACCAATTTATATCTTCGTTTTGCTTGTTTTATCACAGTGCGTATAGGTCTTTATGCGTTGCGTTTTCAAAACAGCTAACTTAAACAGATGTCTATTCAAGTGTTCCATCTGTCTCGTCATGCGTATGTCATAGCCTTTGCAGTGGCTTAAACAGCTAAAGAGAAATTCACAAACAGCAATTTCTCAACAATTACTTTAATTGTCAAAAAGACTTCTAGAAAAGTAAAGAAAAGGACCAAAGAGCAAAAGAATTTTTTAATTAGTTTTCAGCGAACAGTGTCTCACTTTTTCTCTCATCAGATCATCTTAACATAGTATTGAAGTGTTGGCAGATGTTTCTCTTTACATTTTAAACATTTTAGTCAAAATTTTCTGCATACAATTGCAGGTAATTCAAAAAAGCAGTTATAGACATGCGTTGAACAATTTTTATTTGTTAGAATATGGTAGTAGGTCTCTGAATTAAAATTGAAGAATTTCATAGAACTTTCATTAATGCCTAAAACGCTTAGATATTAAAACAACACACAAAGTTTTGCTAATAATACTAAATATTACAATGCCATGATAATATTTAGCATTATTGTGAGATATTTTATGATACAAACTGGTCAAAGTAAAAACTAGGCAAAATATTTAAAAAACACGATAAAACAATATCATCGTAAATTTGTTTATAAAGTTGTTTTAATTTATCATCTTTCAAAATGCCATTTATTTCCTGTAATCTCAGACGTACAGCTTTACCCAAGCGATCACAGCAAACATTAATATGAGTATTTAGGAAGCAGCTCGTTCATCTCTAAAAAATACAGATCGTCAACAATGCAGAGAATGTTTCTACCACATTTTATGTTTGAAAGTTGAAAATTTTTATATTATGCAAAAATCAAACAGAAATTAAAAATTAAACTAAACTCGAAAGCTGAAAATAATTGTTGTTAGCAAGACGTGTGGTTAGATGGGGACTTTTAGCTAATCGAAATGAATATTGCATGCATGAATAAGAAACTTATCATTATAAAAGGAGTGGAAAACTTTAGTTTAGACAAAACAAATAATGTATGGTTCAAAATTTGTGGCAAATGTAAACAAAAGATTTTAAAATCCCTTAACAACAAATTTTCTATTTAAACAGCAAAATCGTGGTTTGGTGTCATTGAGATATTAAAGAAATAAAAACTTTCTTCATACCTGGATAATAATCCTTGTGAAGACACTGGGTTGTTATTTGGTGGTAGTCGTCCACTTTGTGGAAATATTTCATTACTTAAATACAATAAACAAATTTTTCATTAACAATCAAAAAAAATATTGATATCGTAACAAACAATTAAAGTCAACATTGTCGTTAGTGAATTGACAGCTTTAAAGACCACAATGAAAAATGGTTTCATGCACAGTTGAGTAAAACAGGTAAATCAATATTAAGCCCTTAATAACCGAGCATGAGGTCTTTACGGAGAAATAACGGACGGAGATGTTTTTGTACAGAACGAGCTCGTAGGGCGAGGTTTGTACAAAAAGACAGAGGTCCGATATTTCTCAGTAAAGACCGAGAAAGCGAGGTTATTAAAAGGATAATTATAAGGCATTATTTGAACTGAAACGAAGCTTGTTTTCTTTCTCGTCTTTGCTGTTTTGTAAGGGTCGACTTTCGCTTTTCTAGTTTTTGTCAGTAAAAAAGAAATCGTTTCAAATTGTATCGTCTGGATAGTTAAATTGTTTTACGAGTATTTTTCCTTCGACTCACATTCGCAAATTATTTTTGTTTCGTTTTTTGCGTTTTGTTGTTTGCTTTACGAAGTTTATTTACATTTGACTGCAAAATTACGCGTTTTGGATCGTGGTCGATTACGGGAAAATAATGGACCGGCAAAAATATTTCTGAGCCAATCAAAGCGCGCCATTTAGCCGGAAGTGACGCTTGCCATATAATAATATGAAATAAACACAGTTGCATTAACCATAGAAAATTACAAAATTATTTTTTAACCTGTAAAGCCTTACAGTTTATACGTTGTGGGTCTAACTAACCTAGTATCTTCATTCTCCTGTGAAAGAGTGTTGCTCACAAGTGGAAACATTGCATTTACCATAGCAGGCACAAGCATAGTGGGATTGGTTGAGGTCTCTGCAGTGTCATCATCATGGCTAAAGAAAACATTTTACGTCATCATGGCTAAAGAAAACATTTTACGTCATCATGGCTAAAGAAAACATTTTACGTCATCATGGCTAAAGAAAACATTTTACGTCATCATGGCTAAAGAAAAACATTTTACGTCATCATGGCTAAAGAAAACATTTTACGTCATCATGGCTAAAGAAAACATTTTACGTCATCATGGCTAAAGAAAAACATTTTACGTCATCATGGCTAAAGAAAAACATTTTACGTCATCATGGCTAAAGAAAACATTTTACGTCATCATGGCTAAAGAAAAACATTTTACGTCATCATGGCTAAAGAAAAACATTTTACGTCATCATGGCTAAAGAAAAACATTTTACGTCATCATGGCTAAAGAAAACATTTTACGTTATCATGGCTAAAGAAAACATTTTACATCATCATGGCTAAGGAAAAACATTTTACATCATCATGGCTAAAGAAAACATTTTACATCATCATGGCTAAAGAAAAACATTTTACGTCATCATGGCTAAAGAAAAACATTTTACATCATCATTGTAGGGAATACAATATTCTCATGGAAGAAAGTCATGTGACAAAAAAGATTTATATCATCTCCGTCCTTAAATAAGATCACTCCATCAAAAATTCTGTAATCACAGAATACAGACCACTACCCCCATTTATTGAGCTGGCTATGTCACGGCCATTTATCCAATAGAAGCTATTTATAAGGACATTTTATTGTAAACAAGTGCAAATGCAATAAATATCTATTAAAACTCAGGAAATAAATTAAATGTTTAAATTTTAGACAGCATCTATAAATATAATTTAAAGTCGAGGTAAAATTTATGTGTTTACAAAATATTCAAGTTACGTGTATCGATTATAAAACCGACGACAAAGTGATTTTTTAAAATTTTTGAGAGCCATTTTAAGTAAAGACGCTTCGTAAAACAAAAGGATAATATCCATTAATTGGTAAAAAAAGATAAAATGATGGGTGAAAACTAGGTAAAAAGATAAAAAAAAACTACAATATTGTCAAATATTGTACATACAAATCCCTCATGACGTCATCAGCTGGCAGTTCTTGAAGAAGTGCAGGTGGTTCTGGTGGAAGGAGGTCATCAAGAAATGGACTTGTTCTAAAAATAGAAATGAACAAGGTGAGTGTGACCTAACTGCATATACAATGCATGTACTGTAGTTCGGCCATAATAATTAAGTTCATATATATATATTTTACAACATACAGAGAAAGAAAAATTGCATAGCAGTGTGAACAACATTAAGTCAGTAGATAACATGAAATATTTTGAAGAATAGTCTGTTAAACACAGATTTTTGTGTTATTATCGGACAAGTTTTGTGTCAGTGTCCACTTGATAGGGTTTCATTACTACAAATTATATGAGATTTAATTCGGACTTTACTAAGTGTCCTATTTAATACAGGGTGTCTGCTTGATGAAGGGCCCTTAATACAGGTTTGATTGTAATTATTTTAGCTAGTATAGTGCATACATTTATTAATCATCAGAGATTGTATTTGGGCATGTCTAGGTCTGTAAGTGAAATAAAAAGTAAGATACCAAATTATTTCATGCAAAATTTTGTGAGTTCAAAATAAGTCGAAACTAAAGTCATTTGACAAAGATTACTACATTGTTAAATTGAACCACATTGAATATCAGCCTGGGCTAGTGTAAACAGGGTCTAACTTAGAATATATTCATTATCTACCAGAGAGCTGATACCAAACTTACCAAGGTAACCCTAACCACAATCCCTCCCCCCTCCAATGACAAATGCATTACAATTAATTTAACATGACAGCCGAATAATTATTTTCATATTTTGCATATAGAAGACCATCTTGCCAATATCTTGTATAAGACACTTTATGTTCGAGATATTTAATCAAATTTCTTACAAAGACAACATTATGTTATAGTATGGTATTTGAAATCGTACATTGTCAGTAAAAAAAAAGATAAAAGTTGAAAATTTTACCTTTCCCCTTGATACGCCATGTGTAGCTCTAGCTGCGGCCCAAATGAACTCAAAGCCATCTTTATGCAAACAGGAACCAGTTAATCCATCTTCTTCTATGACAAAATTTAGGTCACTGTTATAATCATCTAAATACACCTTTACATTGTCTTTCCATGAAATCGATCCATTTTTTGATTGCGTCATTTACATAGAATAGACTCGCAGTTAAATGACAATCAATGCTATGATAGTCTATCGGTAATTTACCAAGCAAATTTATACTTAAGTTTAATCTGTTCTCTATAAAAAAGGAAACCACACAAGAAAGAAGTTATCAATTCTGATCACACATATTTTACAGCTTGCTTACACTTGTGTTTACATCTGCCATAAAATTATAATATTAGAATCAAAAAGAATGATAGCACAGCGCTATAACCAACAACTACAATTAATAACGACCTTGTCCAACAACATTTGAGAAATTAACCTTCCACTCCTCTTCCTTCTAAACCAGACAAGTCTGCTCAAAAGCAGCGAGTCTTATACGCTACAAGTCCCGGGCTTGTGACCGGTATAGCAGAGTTAAAAGGTGAAAGGTTTATCATAGATTAATCAACTGAATATTCCTGCTCATTTTTTGTTTGGAAGCATGTTGAACAGTTCATATGGACAAAGCTCGAATTCCATATTAAATATCAGTAACATAATCCGGTGTTAATGTTAGACAATACATCATTGCCCTTCAGTGAAAGCATCCCGCTTTCCACTGGAAAAGAATCTAATATCGATGTTAAACATAGCTTGTAGCGTATAAGACTCGCTGCTTTTGAGCAGACTTGTCTGGTTTACAAGGAAGAGGAGTGGAAGGTTAATTTCTCAAATGTTGTTGGACAAGGTCGTTATTGTTTGTAGTTGTTGGTTATAGCGCTGTGCTATCATTCTTTGTTTAATAACATTTATTTAATTGTGAATATTAGAATCCCGGATTATAATAATAATAATATGATATAATATATAATATTAGAATCCCGGATTATAATATTATAGATCCCGAATAATTTATAACAAAATGGTTATAACGCATCATTGTAACGCACCCTAAAAAAAAGTTTTAGAAAGTAAAATTTTACTATTCCCATGAATAACTAGACAGCATTGTCGTGATACATGATACACCTCCACACCTCCTCCTCAATCTTTGGTCTCGTAGGGCAAATTACATGAATTAGTCGACGAATTTTTAAAGATGAGATAAAACTACAATCTGATAAACTGCACGATATAACACAAAAGGCAATAATATCAAAATATTGTATTGTTCCATAGTTTCAACTGGTGGTTGTCAATGATGCTATTCAAAGTCTCAGCACGGACAGTCTATCTTGTAAGAAAAATTTCTTAATCAATTTTGTTAACTCGTGTGTTCTGTCCAGAGTGTCTCGCATAAGTTTGCTTCCTTTTTTGGTAACACCACAGGCCAAGTTAAGCGAATGACCTAACAAAGAGTGATAACGGCTTTTTGCTATTTTCTTTGCAATCTTGTTGCCACAACGGAATTCTGTCCGCGTATTTTTGACATAGCAAGATTCAATCGCTTAAAAACATCTGTGTTAACACCGTAAATAGTTTCAGCATCATTTGATGCGACTTGGTCCAAGCCAACCAGCTCTTTAGCAACTTCAAAGCTTTCACTAACACGTTTGAACAAGATTACCACTTGCTCTACATTTGAGGAGTGTGTTGTTTCAACAACCATCGCGGTGAAGAATGGTAGAACAGACTAAACCCAAAGATCAAGCAATTGATATTGGAGCGGCTGATGATAGGTTTATTGGTATTTCTCATGGAACAACACACAGTATTGAAAAATTGGAAACTGTAGGACCACTTTGCTGTTAGTGTTTCCTTGATCGGAAGAAGCAATTTACTGGCTTCATTGTGGCAATACCGCGTGAAAAAGATATGCGATGAAAGATTTCTGTAAAAAGGCAATACTGTTTTTCATTTCACTGTGCTCCAATCCATATCATGGCTGACCTGAGGCAGCCCTATAGCTAATGGTGATGCTCGTTCGTTCGTTTGAAACGCATAGCAGTTTATTAGATTTCATAAATGGAGCTTTTAGACTGACTGAATATCTTTTGCCGTTGTCTTCTCTCATATCAAAATTATATACAGGGCTGTAAAGCTACTTTTGGAAATACTTCCAGTTTTAGTAAGCACTTGCATGATCTCTTGTGATCATATTGTGAAATACACACATGAGTTTATTTATCCATGGCTATAGCAATATCAATACAGTTACAGTTGTTCAAAATTCCATCTACAATTTTAATTGTTAATTTAGCTACAAGTGCAACATTATATGAAACTTTAGCAGTTTACTAACTGTGATTATTATGTAGTGTTAGATCAGTCAAATCGAGCTGATCTACTTGAAAATAGAGGAGTGAAATGAGCTTAATTCATGATAAGAATTTCCATTAACGAAAACAACTTAATAATTAAGTATATTCATAAATCCATAGCATTTTGTCACAACCATTATTGCTTCCATTTATTGAAAATTCTGAGAAAGAATTTCTTCACTACATTCCAAAACGTGGGAGCACTTAATGTATAGAGGAACGGATTGATGGCCGAGTTAATGGGCACAACAAAAATCATAAATAATATGTGAAGAAGATAATTTTTTTCGACATCTATAAAAAAAAGTGTTGAAACGGGAATCCAGCAGCAGACATCTATAACAATAAAGCTATATGTTAATATAAAAACACAATTACAGACGCAATCAAAAGTTACCATGAAAACAACATTAAATTATATCCCTTACGCCCACAAAATTCAATTATCATGAAATATTTTTTGATTGTATCCAAACCAAGGTTGAATCGGTCCTTTATTATGCATTATTTCTTCAAAAACGTCAAAATAGATAGAATAGCTGACGGTTGCCAAATACTTTTTGTTTTAAATCAAAATATCACACAACCCACATACAAAGTTGAACGTTGCATGCTGGACTGCCTAAGAGGAGAGGTGATTTGATCTTGCCCCGTCAACCCAATCAACACAGTAGCTCCGATTTGAGGGAAGATCTCAAATTCCATTTTTATTATATTTTTATGTTTATGTACTTTCTACAGTAACATACATGACATGAGATGTAATGTAGCTGATTCTTTACAGAAGACTCTCATTCAACAAAATGGTCAGTATCGTGACTTGCATGTGGCATGCACACACAAAAATTTGCAATTTGGCTCAATCAAAATAAATCTATATTGAGCTTGAGATCCCATTTCCAAATATGTTTTTCGGTGTTGGGGTCAATTATGTTTCCATAGACAAAATCGAATTTATCAAATTGAATTTTTTATTTTTTCATTTACCTGTGAAAACAATTGCAGCAAATCTTTTTGCCATAACGCGATGGTCGTACGTTAGATTTTCTGCATCTCTTGATGTCATGTAAAACGAAAAGAATATTCTCATGTAAAGAATGATCAGACACACAGCTGCTGCAGGGTTGATAAAGCCAAATATTGCAATACTGTAATACCAAAAAACAGTGTTTTTCTCTTTGAACTCCACTGGTATACACATCTTCCGGAATAACTGGTAATCAAGTTTCCTTCCTTGACACTGGGGTATGTAATTAGGAAGACAAATAGACAAAACACCAATAGCAGCAGATATTAGCCATGTAAACAATAAAAGTACCAATGCTGTACGGTATCGGATCTTTTTATGATGTAAACCATGAACAACATACAAAAATCTGTCGTATGCAATAAAGATTAGTGTAAATACCGAAACCTCGCTTGAAATAATCGAGATAGCTCCAAGAACTTTACATGTCGTTTCCTTTGGCCATAGACATTTATGATGAAGGTATTCACCGTATGTTGCCAGATCTTTGTAAATTATTCCAACCAAATACACTCCCATCAACATATCACTCAGGCATAAATTGCAAATAAAAAGATTTTGTACTGTATGTAACTTGGCAAAAAGAAGCCTCATTATCAGAGCAAAAATATTGCCAACAAAAATGAGAACAACGGTAATCCACATAAACACACGAGGACTTTCTTTACGCAACAGCCTCCGTGGGCATTTCTTTCTCGGGTCTCCATTGCAGTTACATATCATACTATTATTCAAACAAAGAAAGGGGCAGCAATTTTTACAGGACATTTCACTACAAAAGAAAACGTTTGCTCACTATTGGATACTTATATCTCGCAACAAACGCGAAACTATATTTTATATACAGGGTGACCCAAAAAGATTCGTACCCATGAAAATTTCAATTATGGCTTTAATTAAAAAGCTATTTATTTCAAATTACAACCACACATCATTCAGTTTATGGAAGACTATTCACAAGAGTTTCGGCTATTTCTGTCAATTTTTAGTCAATTTATGGCTTTCCCAAGATATGTTCCAAATGTCCACCATTTCCTTGCAAGCAAACCTGCACTCGTCTGGCAAAGTTTTGAATCACTTTTATACACTCCTCTTTCGGGATGGCTCTTATTTTTGAAGAACTTAAAACTGCCATCACAGCAAAAATAAGAGCCATCCCGAAAGTATAAAAGTGATTCAAAATTGCTTACAACAAATGGACATTAAACATCTTGGGAAAGCCATAAATTGACAAAAAAATGGTCTGAATGAATATTTAATAAATAAAATTCAATATAATTGAAATTTTTAATGGTACATCTTTGGTCACCTAATCTAACAAAAATTGGATAAATGAATCATTGATCAATGTATACTTACACAAACTTTAAATTTCTTAAAGTAAAAATATCACGAGGTCGGACTTTTGCTTTATTGCTATTGAATGATCTAAATATTAAAATACGATCTTAATTATTACTCTCAATATTGATAAAAAAAAATATTCAGTTATGACCATATTACATAGTAAAATAAAAAACCATGGCTAATGCAAACGTCATCATGATGAAATTCTCTTTAATTAGTAGTGGGTATAGACTTGATCTTCACCCCAGGTTAGCAATCTCAGCTTGTTCATGAATCACAAAACATGGCAGTAATATCTGCACATGATGACGATATATACATTCATCATTTGCAATACGAGTTACTGATTTAGATTTGGAGTTATAAAATATACAAAAATGGTGCACTTACAACATTTCTAAACTACATAGTCCATCAAATGTGTGACGATCAATTTTCTTTATTTTATTGTGAGAAATATTGCTATAAAATATTTGAAAGTGAAATTACAAAATGCTTAGGAAGGTTGTTTTAAATGATTACAGATCCATTTTTTGTCTGAATTTTGTTTTTGATCATGCATAAAAAAAATTTTTACGCAGGACAATATCAAATAACAAAAAAAGGAAGAAATAGAAGATGCTGGGTGAAAAAAGTAAATTCATATTCGAAGAAAAAAATTTAATTCAAAAAACTATTGACCAGCCTGCATGTGTGTTTGAAATTTCATTAAAAAATGTAAACCAAGAAAAAGAATTGGGATGAGAAAATTTGACAGAACATAAAAACAGAAAACATAATCAACAAACAATAAATAAAAAAATGCTTACAGATTTCTTAATTTGTTAAGAGTTTTAAAACATCCCTTGGGAATTTCCGTAATGTTGTTGCGTGACAAGTCACTAGAAAATGAAATAGGAACTACATGTCAAGAAATAACAACATATAGTTTTCCTTGAACGAAAATCAAAATAAGTCCATAACTATAAGGGGCTTTATGTAATGTACTTCTAAAAAACTTATAGATTTTCCAGTTTGATTAGACCATTAATTATCTCACAGTCAACTAATGAAAGTATATTGTTCGACAAATTTCTAAATTGAATATAAAACATTCATTTTAGTGCAAATAGCAACTCTGCGTGTACAGCAGTATCGGTAAGCAGAGTTTGAGATGAGAGACTAGTTTTATTTAAAACAAATTTTCCAACATTTAACAACTGATAAACGAAGCAGATTCCTATGAAAACATCTATATTTCAACCCGACGTCCTTAGGTGCGCCACTGGACCAATACCACAATGGGATCGACAAGTTTAACAATAGATTGCCATAATTGAACAATTAAGATACAAAAAGAAAGCTATAAGAATACAAAATAGTAAATGCTTACAGGTGTTTCAAATTGGTCAAACTTTTAAAACAGTCGGTTGGAATTTCTTTTAAATCGTTTCCAGCTAAGTTGCTAGAAAAATTATATGGAAAGCAAAGAATAAATTTCAATGTAAAAAAAGAAGTTACATTACCATGGATAAGTGCACTATCGGATTATGTACTTCAAATGCACTTACAGATTTTCCAGTTCGATTAGCCCATGAAACATCTCACAGTTTTGTAATGAAAGTTTATTGTTTGACAAATCTCTAAAATAATGAATAAAAAATATAGCCTTCTAGTTTAAATATGAACAATACAAGCTTTATTCAACACAAATTTGCCAACATTTAACAACATTGTTTTTTTCCTTTGAATTTTATGATTAATTATATGATAAGTTTTTATGTAATCAAAGAATGCATTTCTTGTTCCAATTTTTTCCCGTTATCTTCGAATATCTCAGGAAATATTTGATCATAGTTTGCAATAGTAAATAAGTCACACTAAATGTAATGGTAATATTGTGCATCGCTGGCATTTAAGAATGTAATATTTGTCTTTTAGAATGGTATTAAACATTAAAAAAGAATATAAAACTGTTATATTCAAACATAGCCTTAGAAATACTTACAAAGCCTTCACAGTAACAGGACAGTTTTCTTTTTGTCGAAATACATCTCCACAGATACGTTGGACTTTCTCTTCATCACTGAAAAGAAAGCAAAATTTACGTTTTTTACTTATAGTAAGCAGCATTGTTAGTTTGTACACTTATACAAAGCTTTAAAAATGATTTTTTTTAATTGTTACATGCATGAATGAATTATTTGTTTTTTTGTTAAGACACATGAAAGATAACCTTCATTGACACTCTTTCTTTATTAACGTTCTTATAAAGTCTCATGTAGTCTTTTTCAAAACGACTTTTCCGGCACATTTTTTGTCTTGGTTTATTAGAAGTTGTTATTATAATATAAAAATCTTTTCCTTAATTAATTTGTCTTTTCTTAATAAAAGTGTCTTTTCTTTCTTCTGAAGCAAACTTCTATTTGATCGATTATTTTAAAGTTATTTACATTTCGCCACTATCACATATTTGTACTTGAGATGTATATGTGTGTTTCATTTTCAAGTCTTTGCATCCAGTAAAATCTAGGAATTCAAAAAATTGAATTCAGCGAGGAGTTTGACAATAATAAGGATAAAGACAAATAAGATTGTGCAAATCAATGAAATCATGCTGTTGTTGTCACTGGTATGCCTAATTTGAGTTAATTCAATCAGGTAAAATGATTCAGATTTGCTTGTTCATACATTTATCTTTTGAACATGTCAAACGTATACAATAAATTAAGCAATCATGTATAATTTTCCTTCGTAGCATATCGTCCGTGTTAATCACCTCAACCTTTAACTAAGGTGAAAACACTGACCTGGTGGCAAAATAATTCATATTTTACTCAATCCTATTCAATAGTTTTTCTGATGATACAATGAAACAAATGAAGGTTGTAAACATTCACTTGAGGTGCAGCGTTATTCATTTTTTTCCATTGATTTAAAAAATAACCTTTATTAGACAGAACACAGGAATAATTTGTTTGTGGTATTGTAATATTTCCTATGCAACGAAGAATATCCAATGTACAGTTTTCATCTAAAATAAAAACAATAGACAACGAGAACTTCAAAATGCAAAAAAATACCAGGATGTATCTTAACATAGTTGCTAATGCTATCTATGTTTTAAAGAAAAACCAGCCACAGGCACGCGCATGTTATGATTACACGTAAACAACATATTAAGAAATCATTTTTGATTAAAGTGAAAAAGTTCCATTAATAAAATTCGATAGTGCAAATTTCTGTGTTTCTTCACTCACCAAAACAAAGCGTTTCTAAGGAGCCGAGTACATGGAGCAACTTCAGCCAAGGCTGAAACTCAGCCGGGTTGAAATTGACCATATAATCGGCCAATTAAGAAGTTCAACAATAATATTGATCTGAAATTTACATAGCAGGACCAAAACCTGTAGACTGACTTCTCCACTGTGTCAATCATCCATCATGTATGAATGGGGTTTACACTATTTTTCATTTTCTTGACCTCGTCTTAAAGGGCACATCGTGTTACTGAAACTAATTTTTTTTACTATATCATTTTACTGTATGTAAAGTAGGCAATAATCAAAATTATAAATAATCACTTATGAACAGCGAACTACTTATGAATAAAACATAAATGCCTTAAAAGGCTTCAAAAATATAAGTTATACTAACCTGTATTATTATTTCTGACATTTTTGCTTAGAGCTGGCAGAAAGGAGAAAGAAAATGAAAAAATCTCTTACGTAAGATATCATCGTACCTACAATGGAATAGCAAATTTTTTGTAAATGAGATGATGTCAATAAAATGCACGAAAAATTAGCGAAACTTTCACTAAATATTAGAAACTATTTCTAATTGAGATTTCTAAATAAAACAGGAATTTTATAAATGGAAATGTTCATAGTAACATAAATATTCAAGTGGTTTACTGGTCTGAATGCATGACATAGAAAGAAACAAGTATAATTGGAAAACTAACGTTTTGGTAAAAACAAGATGTCATTTATAAGTCGACAAAATTTTTTTCAATCCAAATCTTGAGCAAAACACAGCACAAATATCTCTAATGACAGATTTTGTAAAATGAATGAGTTGTATTCACAAGAAATTGAATTAAATAAGCTAGTATGTAAGTTGAAATATGGACGATATTGTGTTGTGCAAGACAAATATAAGAAAAAGGTGAGTATGAAAAATGAAGATACATCCATGATCATTTTTTCAATAGTATTTTGTCCAACTTCCATCCACAAGTTGTAAAAACTACACGTTCATTTCTTCAAATGGAGAAAATGTACATATTGCAACAGCCATAAATTATGTATGTTTTATAATCAACTAATAGTTTATAATGATATAGATTACGAAGTTATCGATTTCAAAACTTTCATAATACACCAAATTATTTAAATGCGATATAGCTAATAAACTGAAAGGCACTAACAAGTTGCAATCTTTAAGTTATAAATGAAGACGTGGAAGGGAGGGGTGAATGAAAGAACACTTTGTTTGTGAGACACTTTCATCTTGAAGACGCAAAGCTATTGAAGTTTGCTTTTTTAATTTTATTAATTAATGTTTAACACAGAAAAATTCAGACAAAAGAAAATTACTTTGCATAAACGATAGCTAGTTTCAGTGTATACATAAAAGCATTGCTTTTATTTTTTGTTTCTATTTTATGTGTTTTGTTTTGTTTCGTTCTCAAACAAAAATTATTATAATGGGGATTTATCAGATCAAAACTATTCATGCTTTAGCCAAAAACTAGTACTGCTCCAAACATCAAAGGCGATATTCAGTCAATCTGTGTTTAGAGTCACTTTGTACTCTACAAAGAAAGGAATGAATTGACAACTTTGGCTCATCTATTTATCCTAGAATTTACACATAAATATATCATAATTCTTATCATTACGATTAATCATTGCAAATAAAAATATCTTTAAGTATTTCATACCATTATATATTTTCGTTTTGCTTGTTTTATGACAGTGCGTATAGGTCTTTATGCGTTGCGTTTTCAAAACAGCTAACTTAAACAGATAAACAGATGTCTACTCAAGTGTTCCATCTGTCTCGTCATGCATATGTCATAGCCTTTGCAGTGGCTTAAACAGCTAAAGAGAAGTTCACAAACAGCACTTTCTCAACAATTACTTTAATGGTCAAAAAGACTTCTAGAAAAGTAAAGAAAAGGACCAAAGAGCAAAAGAATTTTTTAATTAGTTTTCAGCGAACAGTGTCTCACTTTTTCTCTCATCAGATCACCTTAACGTAGTATTGAAGTGTTGGCAGATGTTTCTCTTTACATTTTAAACATTTTAGTCAAAATTTTCTGCATACAATTGCAGGTAATTCAAAAAAGCAGTTATAGACATGCGTTGAACAATTTTTATTTGTTAGAATATGGTAGTAGGTCTCTGAATTAAAATTGAAGAATTTCATAGAACTTTCATTAATGCCTAAAACGCTTAGATATTAAAACAACACACAAAGTTTTTGCTAATAATACTAAATATTACAATGCCATGATAATATTTAGCATTATTGTGAGATATTTTATGATACAAACTGGTCAAAGTAAAAAACTAGGCAAAATATTTAAAAAAAAACACGATAAAACAATATCATCGTAAATTTGTTTATAAAGTTATTTTTAATTTATCATCTTTCAAAATGCCATTTATTTCCTGTAATCTCAGACGTACAGCTTTACCCAAGCGATCACAGCAAACATTAATATGAGTATTTAGGGAAGCAGCTCGTTCATCTCTAAAAAATACAGATCGTCAACAATGCAGAGAATGTTTCTACCACATTTTATGTTTGAAAGTTGAAAATTTTATATTATGCAAAAATCAAACAGAAATTAAAAATTAAACTAAACTCGAAAGCTGAAAATAATTGTAGTTAGCAAGACGTGTGGTTAGATGGGGACTTTTAGCTAATCGAAATGAAGATTGCATGCATGAATAAGAAACTTATCATTATAATAGGAGTGGAAAACTTTAGTTTAGACAAAACAAATAATGTATGTTTCAAAATTTGTGGCAATGTAAAAAAAAGATTTTAAAATCACTTAACAACGAATTTTCTCTTTAAACAGCAAAATCGTGGTTTGGTGTCATTGAGATATTAAAGAAATAAAAAATTTCTTCATACCTGGATAATAATCCTTGTGAAGACACTGGGTTGTTATTTGGAGGTAGTCGTCCACTTTGTGGAAATATTTCATTACTAAAATACAACAAACGAATTTTTCATTAACAATCAAAAAAAATATTGATATCGTAACAAACAATTAAAGTCAACATTGTCGTTAGTGAATTGACAGCTTTAAAGACCAAAATGAAAAATGGTTTCATGCACAGTTGAGGAAAACAGGTGAATCAATACTAAGCCCTTAATAACCGAGCATGAGGTCTTTACGGAGAAAAAACGGACCAAGGTGTTTTTGTACAGACCGAACCCGTAGGGCGAAGTTTGTACAAAACGACAGAGGTCCAATATTTCTCAGTAAAGACCGAGAAAGCGAGGTTATTAAAAGGTTTATTATAAGGCATTATTTGAACTGAAACGAAGCTTGTTTTCTCTCTCGTCTTTGCTGTTTTGTAACGGTCGATTTTCGCTTTTCTAGTTTTTGTCAGTAAAAAAGAACTCGTTTCAAATTGTATCGTCTGGATAGTTAAATTGTTTTACGAGTGTTTTTCCTTCGACTCACATTTGCAAATTATTTTTGTTTCTTTTTTTTGCGTTTTGTTGTTTGCTTTACGAAGTTTGTTTACATTTGACTGCAAAATTACGCGTTTTGGATCGTGGTCGATTACGGGAAAGTAATGGACCGGCAAAAATATTTCTGAGCCAATCAAAGCGCGCCATTTAACCGGAAGTGACGCTTGCCATATAATAATATGAAATAAACACAGTTGCATAAACCATAGAAAATTACAAAATTATTTTTTAACCTGTAAAGCCTTACAGTATATACGTTGTGGGTCTAACTAACCTAGTATCTTCATTCTCCTGTGAAAGAGTGTTGCTCACAAGTGGAAACATTGCATTTACCATAGCAGGCACAAGCATAGTGGGATTGGTTGAAGTCTCTGCAGTGTCATCATCATGGCTAAAGAAAACATTTTACGTCATCATGGCTAAAGAAAAATATTTTACGTCATCATGGCTAAAGAAAAACATTTTACGTCATCATGGCTAAAGAAAAACATTTTACGTCATCATGGCTAAAGAAAAACATTTTACGTCATCATGGCTAAAGAAAAACATTTTACGTCATCATGGCTAAAGAAAAACATTTTACGTCATCATGGCTAAAGAAAAACATTTTACGTCATCATTGTACGGAATGCAATATTCTCATGGAAGAAAGTCATGTGACAAAAAAGATTTATATCATCTTCGTCCTTAAATAAGATCACTCCATCAAAAATTCTGTAATCACAGAATACAGACCACTACCCCCTTTTATTGAGCTGGCTATGGCACGGCCATTTATCCAATAGAAGCTATTTATAAGGACATTTTATTGTAAACAAGTGCAAATGCAATAAATATCTATTAAAACTCAGGAAATAAATTAAATGTTTAAATTATAGACAGCAACTATAAATATAATTTAAAGTCGAGGTAAAATTTATGTGTTTACAAAATATTCAAGTTACGTGTATCGATTATAAAACCGATGACAAAGTGATTTTTTAAAATTTTTGAGAGCTATTTTAAGTAAAGACGCTTCGTAAAACAAAAGGATAATATCCATTAATTGGTAAAAAAAGATAAAATGATGGGTGAAAACTAGGTAAAAAGATAAAAAAAAACTACAATATTGTCAAATATTGTACATACAAATCCCTCATGACGTCATCAGCTGGCAGTTCTTGAAGAAGTGCAGGTGGTTCTGGCGGAAGGAGGTCATCAAGAAATGGACTTGTTCTAAAAATAGAAATGAACAAGGTGGGTGTGACCTAACTGCATATACAACGCATGTACTGTAGTTCGGCCATAATAATTAAGTTCATATATATATATTTTACAGCATAGAGAGAAAGAAAAATTGCATAGCTGTGTGAACAACATTAAGTCAGTAGATAACATGAAATATTTTGAAGAATAGTCTGTTAAACACAGATTTTTGTGTTATTATCGGACAAATTTTGTGTCAGTGTCCACTTGATAGAGGTTTCAATACTACAAATTATATGAGATTCAATTCGGGACTTTACTAAGTGTCCTATTTAATACAGGGTGTCTGCTTGATGAAGGGCCCCTTAATACAGGTTTGATTGTAATTATTTTAGCTAGTATAGTGCATACATTTATTAATCATCAGAGATTGTATTTGGGCATGTCTAGGTCTGTAAGTGAAATAAAAAGTAAGATACCATATTATTTCATGAAAAATTTTGCTAGTCAAAATAAGTCGAAAATAAAGTCATTTGACAAAGATTACTACATTGTTAAATTGAACCACATTGAATATCAGCCTGGGCTAGTGTAAACAGGGTCTAACTTAGAATATATTCATTATCTACCAGAGAGCTGATACCAAACTTACCAAGGTAACCCTAACCACAATCCCTCCCCCTTCCAATGACAAATGCATTACAATTAATTTAACATGACAGCCGAATAATTATTTTCATATTTTGCATATAGAAGACCATCTTGCCAATATCTTGTATAAGACACTTTATGTTCGAGATATTTAATCGAATGTCTTACAAAGACAATATTATGTTATAGTATGGTATTTGAAATCGTACATTGTCAGTTAAAATACAAGATAAAAGTTGAAAATTTTACCTTTCCCCTTGATACGCCATGTGTAGCTCTAGCTCCGGCCCAAATGAACTCAAAGCCATCTTTATGCAAACAGGAACCAGTTAATCCATGTTCTTCTATGACAAAATTTAGGTCACTGTTATAATCATTTAAATACACCTTTACATTGTGTTTCCATGAAATCGATCCATTTTTTTATTGTGTCATTTACATAGAATAGACTCGCAGTTAAATGACAATCAATGCTATGATAGTCTATCGGTAATTTACCAAGCAAATTTATACTTAAGTTTAATCTGTTCTCTATAAAAAAGGAAACCACACAAGAAAGAAGTTATCAATTCTGATCACACATATTTTACAGCTTGCTTACACTTGTGTTTACATCTGCCATAAAATTATAATATTAGAATCCCGGATTATAATATTTTAGATCCCGGATAATAATAATATGATATAATATATAATATTAGAATCCCGGATTATAATATTATAGATCCCGAATAATTTATAACAAAATGGTTATAACGCATCATTGTAACGCACCCTAAAAAAAAGTTTTAGAAAGTAAAATTTTACTATTCCCATGAATAACTAGACAGCATTGTCGTGATACATGATACACCTCCCCCCCTCCTCCTCAATCTTTGGTCTCGTAGGGCAAATTACATGAATTAGTCGACGAATTTTTAAAGATGAGATAAAACTACAATCTGATAAACTGCACGATATAACACAAAAGGCAATAATATCAAAATATTGTATTGTTCCATAGTTTCAACTGGTGGTTGTCAATGATGCTATTCAAAGTCTCAGCACGGACAGTCTATCTTGTAAGAAAAATTTCTTAATCAATTTTGTCAACTCCTGTGTTCTGTCCAGAGCGTCTCGCATAAGTTTGCTTCCTTTTTTGGTAACACCACAGGCCAAGTTAAGCGAATGACGTAACAAAGAGTGATAACGGCTTTTTGCTATTTTCTTTGCAATCTTGTTGCCACAACGGAATTCTGTCCGCGTATTTTTGACATAGCAAGATTCAATCGCTTAAAAACATCTGTGTTAACACCGTAAATACTTTCAGCATCACTTGATGCGACTTGGTCCAAGCCAACCAGCTCTTTAGCAACTTCAAAGCTTTCACTAACACGTTTGAACAAGATTACCACTTGCTCTACATTTGAGGAGTGTGTTGTTTCAACAACCATCGCGGTGAAGAATGGTAGAACAGACTAAACCCAAAGATCAAGCAATTGATATTGGAGCGGCTGATGATAGGTTTATTGGTATTTCTCATGGAACAACACACAGTATTGAAAAATTGGAAACTGTAGGACCACTTTGCTGTTAGTGTTTCCTTGATCGGAAGAAGCAATTTACTGGCTTCATTGTGGCAATACCGCGTGAAAAGATATGCGATGAAAGATTTCTGTAAAAAGGCAATACTGTTTTTCATTTCACTGTGCTCCAATCCATATCATGGCTGACCTGAGGCAGCCCTATAGCTAATGGTGATGCTCGTTCGTTCGTTTGAAACGCATAGCAGTTTATTAGATTTCATAAATGGAGCTTTTAGACTGACTGAATATCTTTTGCCGTTGTCTTCTCTCATATCAAAATTATATACAGGGCTGTAAAAGCTACTTTTTGGAAATACTTCCAGTTTTAGTAAGCACTTGCATGATCTCTTGTGATCATATTGTGAAATACACACATGAGTTTATTTATCCATGGCTATAGCAATATCAATACAGTTACAGTTGTTCAAAATTCCATCTACAATTTTAATTGTTAATTTAGCTACAAGTGCAACATTATATGAAACTTTAGCAGTTTACTAACTGTGATTATTATGTAGTGTTAGATCAGTCAAATCGAGCTGATCTACTTGAAAATAGAGGAGTGAAATGAGCTTAATTCATGATAAGAATTTCCATTAACGAAAACAACTTAATAATTAAGTATATTCATAAATCCATAGCATTTTGTCACAACCATTATTGCTTCCATTTATTGAAAATTCTGAGAAAGAATTTCTTCACTACATTCCAAAACGTGGGAGCACTTAATGTATAGAGGAACGGATTGATGGCCGAGTTAATGGGCACAACAAAAATCATAAATAATTTGAAGAAGATAATTTTTTCGACATCTATAAAAAAGTGTTGAAACGGGAATCCAGCAGCAGACATCTATAACAATAAAGCTATATGTTAATATAAAAACACAATTACAGACGCAATCAAAAGTTACCATGAAAACAACATTAAATTATATCCCTTACGCTCACAAAATTCAATTATCATGAAATATTTTTTGATTGTATCCAAACCAAGGTTGAATCGGTCCTTTATTATGCATTATTTCTTCAAAAACGTCAAAATAGATAGAATAGCTGACGGTTGCCAAATACTTTTTGTTTTAAATCAAAATATCACACACCCCACATACAAAGTTGAACGTTGCATGCTGGACTGCCTAAGAGGAGAGGTGATTTGATCTTGCCCCGTCAACCCAATCAACAAGGTAGCTCCGATTTGAGGGAAGATCTCAAATTCCATTTTTATTATATTTTTATGTTTATGTACTTTCTACAGTAACATACATGACATGAGATGTAATGTAGCTGATTGTTTACAGAAGACTCTCATTCAACAAAATGGTCAGTATCGTGACTTGCATGTGGCATGCACACACAAAAATTTGCAATTTGGCTCAATCAAAATAAATCTATATTGAGCTTGAGATCCCATTTCCAAATATGTTTTTCGGTGTTGGGGTCAATTATGTTTCCATAGACAAAATCGAATTTATCAAATTGAATTTTTTATTTTTTCATTTACCTGTGAAAACAATTGCAGCAAATCTTTTTGCCATAACGCGATGGTCATACGTTCGATTTTCTGCATCTCTTGATGTCATGTAAAACGAAAAGAATATTCTCATGTAAAGAATGATCAGACACACAGCTGCTGCAGGGTTGATAAAGCCAAATATTGCAATACTGTAATACCAAAAAACAGTGTTTTTCTCTTTGAACTCCACTGGTATACACATCTTCCGGAATAACTGGTAATCAAGTTTCCTTCCTTGACACTGGGGTATGTAATTAGGAAGACAAATAGACAAAACACCAATAGCAGCAGATATTAGCCATGTAAACAATAAAAGTACCAATGCTGTACGGTATCGGATCTTTTTATGATGTAAACCATGAACAACATACAAAAATCTGTCGTATGCAATAAAGATTAGTGTAAATACCGAAACCTCGCTTGAAATAATCGAGATAGCTCCAAGAACTTTACATGTCGTTTCCTTTGGCCATAGACATTTATGATGAAGGTATTCACCGTATGTTGCCAGATCTTTGTAAATTATTCCAACCAAATACACTCCCATCAACATATCACTCAGGCATAAATTGCAAATAAAAAGATTTTGTACTGTATGTAACTCGGCAAAAAGAAGCCTCATTATCAGAGCAAAAATATTGCCAACAAAAATGAGAACAACGGTAATCCACACAAACACACGATAACCTTCTTTATGCAACAACCTCCGTGGGCATTTCTTTCTCGGGTCTCCACTGCAGTTACATGTTATACTATTATTCAAACAAAGAAAGGGGCAGCAATTTTCACAAGACATTTCACTACAAAAGAAAACGTTTGCTCACTATTGGATACTTATATCTCGCAATAAACGCGAAACTATATTTTATATATCTAAAAATCTAATAAAAATTGGATAAATGAATCATTGATCAATGTATACTTACACAATCTTTAAATTTCTTAAAGTAAAAATATCACGAAGTTGGACTTCTGTTTCCTTGCTATTGAATGATCTAAATATTAAAATACGATCTTAATTATTACTCTCAATATTGATAAAAAAAAATATTCAGTTATGACCATATTACATAGTAAAATAAAAAACCATGGCTAATGCAAACGTCATCATGATGAAATTCTCTTTAATTAGTAGTGGGTATAGACTTGATCTTCACCCCAGGTTAGCAATCTCAGCTTGTTCATGAATCACAAAACATGGCAGTAATATCTGCACATGATGACGATATATACATTCATCATTTGCAATACGAGTTACTGATTCAAATTTGGAGTTATAAAATATACAAAAATGGAGCACTTACAACATTTCTAAACTACATAGTCCATCAAATGTGTGACGATCAATTTTCTTTATTTTATTGTGAGAAATATTGCTATAAAATATTTGAAAGTGAAATTACAAAATGCTTAGGAAGATTGTTTTAAATGATTACAGATCCATTTTTTGTCTGAATTTTGTTTTTGATCATGCATAAAAGAAATTTTTACGCAGGACAATATCACATAACAAAAAAGAAAGAAATAGAAGATGCTGGGTGAAAAAAGTAAAGTCATATTCGAAGAAAAAAATTTAATTCAAAAAACTATTGACCAGCCTGCCTGTGTTTGAAATTTCATTAAAAAATGTAAACCAAGAAAAAGAATTGGGATGAGAAAATTTGACATAACATAAAAACAGAAAACATAATCAACAAACAATAAATAAAAAAATGCTTACAGATTTCTTAATTTGTTAAAAGTTTTAAAACATCCCTTGGGAATTTTCGCAATGTTGTTGTCTGAAATGTCGCTAGAAAATAAAATGCGAACTACATGTCAAGAAAAATAACAAAATATAGTTTTCCTTGAACGAAAATCAAAATAAGTCCATAACTATAAGGGGCTTTATGTAATGTACTTCTAAAAAACTTACAGATTTTCCAGTTCGATTAGCCCATTAAACATCTCACAGTTTTGTAATGAAAGTTTATTGTTTGACAAATCTCTAAAATAATGAATAAAAAATATAGCCTTCTAGTTTAAATGTGAACAATAAAAGCTTTATTCAACACAAATTTACCAACATTTAACAACTGATAAAAAGAAGCAGATTCCTATGAAAACAATCTATATTTCAAGTCGACGCCCCTAGGTGCGCCACTGGACCAATACCACAATGGGATCGACAAGTTTAACAATAGATTGCTAAAATTGAACAATTAAGATACAAAAAGAAAGCTATAAGAATACAAAATAGTAAATGCTTACAGAAGTTTCAAATTGGTCAAACTTTTAAAACAGTCTGCTGCAATTTCTTTTATACCGTTTCCAGCTATGTTGCTAGAAAAATTATATGGAAAGCAAAGAATAAATTTCAATGTAAAAAAAGAAATTACATTATCATGTATAAGTGCACTATCGGATTATGTACTTCAAATGCACTTACAGATTTTCCAGTTCGGTTAGCCCATTAAACATCTCACAGTTTTGTAATGAAAGGTTATTGTTTGACAAATCTCTAAAATAATGAATAAAAAATATAGCCTTCTAGTTTAAATATGAAAAATACAAGCTTTATTCAACACAAATTTTCCAATATTTAACAGCTGATAAAAAGAAGCAGATTCCTATGAAAACAATCTAAATTACAACCCCACGTCCCTAGGTGCGCCACTGGACCAATACCACAATGCGATCGACAAGTTTAACAATAGATTGCCAAAATTGAACAATTAAGATACAAAAACAAAGCTATAAGAATACAACATAGTAAATGCTTACAGGTGTTTCAAATTGGTCAAACTTTTAAAACAGTCTGTTGGAATTTTATTTAAACTGTTTCCAGCTAAGTTGCTAGAAAAATTATATGGAAAGCAAAGAATAAATTTCAATGTAAAAAAAGAAATTACATTACCATAGATAAGTGCACTATCGGATTATGTACTTCAAATGCACTTACAGATTTTCCAGTTCGATTAGCCCATTAAACATCTCACAGTTTTGTAATGAAAGTTTATTGTTTGACAAATCTCTAAAATAATGAATAAAAAATATAGCCTTCTAGTTTAAATAAAAACAATAAAAGCTTTATTCAACACAAATTTGCCAACATTTAACAACTGATAAAAAGAAGCAGATTCCTATGAAAACAATCTATATTTCAAGTCGACGTCCCTAGGTGCGCCACTGGAACCAATACCACAATGGGATCGACAAGTTTAACAATAGATTGCCAAAATTGAACAATTAAGATACAAAAAGAAAGCTATAAGAATACAAAATAGTAAATGCTTACAGGTGTTTCAAATTGGTCAAACTTTTAAAACAGTCTGTTGGAATTTCTTTTAAACCGTTTCCAGCCAAGTTGCTAGAAAAATTATATGGAAAGCAAAATGTTTGACAAATCTCTAAAATAATGAATAAAAATACAGCCTTCTAGTTTAAATATGAACAATAAAAGCTTTATTCAACACAAATTTGCCAACATTTAACAACATTAGTGTTTTTCCTTTGAATTTTATTATTAATTATATGATAAGTTTTTATGTAATCAAAGAATGCATTTTTTGTTCCAATTTTTCCCGTTATCTTCGAATATCTCAGGAAATATTTGATCATAGTTTGCAATAGTAAATAAGTCACACTAAATGTAATGGTAATATTGTGCATCGCTGGCATTTAAGAATGTAATATTTGTCTTTTAGAATGGTATTAAACATTAAAATAGAATATAAAACTGTTATATTCAAACATAGCCTTAGAAATACTTACAAAGCCTTCACAGTAACAAGACATTTTTCTTTTTGTCGAAATACATCTCCACAGATACGTTGGACTTTCTTTTCGGATTCATCACTGAAAAGAAAGCAAAATTTACGTTTTTTACTTACAGTAAGCAGCCTTGTTAGTTTGTACACTTATACAAAGCTTTAAAAATGATTTTTTTATATGTTCCATGCATGAGTGAATTATTTGTTTTTTGTCAAGACACATGAAAGATAACCTTCATTAACACTCTTTCTTTATTAACGTTCTTATAAAGTCTCATGTAGTCTTTTTCAAAACGACTTTTCCGGCACATTTTTTGTCTTGGTTTATTAGAAGTTGTTATTATAATATAAAAATCTTTTCCTTAATTAATTTGTCTTTTCTTAATAAAAGTGTCTTTTCTTTCTTCTGAAGCAAACTTCTATTTGATAGATTAATTTTAAGTTATTTACATTTTGGCATTATCGCATATTTGTACTTGAGATGTATAGTTGTGTTTCATTTTCAAGTCTTTGCATCCAGTAAAATCTAGGAATTCAAAAATTGAGTTCAGCGAGGAGTTTGATAATAATAAGGATAAAGACAAATAAGATTGTGCAAATCAATGAAATCATGCTGTTGTTGTCACTGGTATGCCTAATTTGAGTTAATTTAATCAGGTAAAATGATTCAGATTTGCTTGTTCATACATTTATCTTTTGAACATGTCGAACGTATACAATAAATTAAGCAATCATGTATAATTTTCCTTCGTAGCATATCGTCCGTGTTAATCACCTCAACCTTTAACTAAGGTGAAAACACTGACCTGGTGGCAAAATAATTCATATTTTACTCAATCCTATTCAATAGTTTTTCTGATGATACAATGAAACAAATGAAGGTTGTAAACATTCACTTGAGGTGCAGCGTTATTCATTTTTTTCCATTGATTTAAAAAATAACCTTTATTAGACAGAACACAGGAATAATTTGTCTGTGGTATTGTATAATTTCCTGTGCAACGAAGAATATCCAATGTACAGTTTTCATCTAAAATAAAAACAATAGACACTTCAAAATGTAAAAAAATACCAGGATGTATCTTAACATAGTTGCTAAAGTTATCTATGTTTTAAAAAAAACCAGCCACAGGCACGCGCATGTTATGATTACACGTAAACAACATATTAAGAAATCGTTTTTGATTAAAGTGAAAAAGTTCCATTAATAAAATTCGATAGTGCAAATTTCTGTGTTTCTTCTCCTACCAAAACAATACGTTTCTAAGGGGCCAATTACATGGAGCAATTTCAGCCTAGGTTGAAACTCAGCCCCGGTTGAAATTGACCATATAATCGGCCCATTAAGAAATTTAACAATAATATTCATCTGAAATTTACATAGCAGGACCAAAACCTGTAGACTGACTTCTCCACTGTGTCAATCATCCATCATGTATGAATGGGGTATACACTATTTTTCATTTTCTTGACCTCGTCTTTAAGGGCACATCGTGTTACTGAAACTAATTTTTTTTACTATATCATTTTACTGTATGTAAAGTAGGCAATAATCAAAATTATAAATAATCACTTATGAACAGCGAACTACTTATGAATAAAACATAAACGCCTTAAAAGGCTTCCAAAATATAAGTTATACTAACCTGTATTATTATTCTGACATTTTTGCTTAGAGCTGGCAGAAAGGAGAAAGAAAATGAAAAAATCTCTTACGTAAGATATCATCGTACCTACAATGGAATAGCAAATTTTTTGTAAATGAGATGATGTCAATAAAATGCACGAAAAATTAGCGAAACTTTCACTAAATATTAGAAACTATTTCTAATTGAGATTTCTAAATAAAAACAGGAATTTTATAAATGGAAATGTTCATAGTAACATAAATATTCAAGTGGTTTACTGGTCTGAATGCATGACATAGAAAGAAACAAGTATAATTGGAAAACTAACGTTTTGGTAAAAACAAGATGTCATTTATAAGTCGACAAAATTTTTTTCAATCCAAATCTTGAGCAAAACACAGCAAAAATATCTCTAATGACAGATCTTGTAAAATGAATGAGTTGTATTCACAAGAAATTGAAGTAAATAAGCTAGTATGTAAGTTGAAATATGGACGATATTGTGTTGTGCAAGACAAATATTTCTTTAAAAATAGCAAAGAAAAAAGTGAGTATGAAAAATGAAGATACATCCATGATCATTTTTTTTCAATAGTATTTTGTCCAACTTCCATCCACGAGTTGTAAAAACTACACGTTCATTTCTTCAAATGGAGAAAATGTACATATTGCAACAGCCATAAATTATGTATGTTTCTATAATCAACTAATAGTTTATAATGATATAGATTACGAAGTTATCGATTTCAAAACTTTCATAATACACCAAATTATTTAAATGCGATATAGCTAATAAACTGAAAGGCACTAACAAGTTGCAATCTTTAAGTTATAAATGGAGACGTGGAAGGGGAGGGGGAGTGAATGAAAGAACACTTTGTTTGTGAGACACTTTCATCTTGAAGACGCAAAGCGATTGAAGTTTATTTAATGTTTAACACAGAAAAATTCAAGCAAAAGAAAATTACTTTGCATAAACGATAGCTAGTTTCAGTGTATACATAAAAGCATCGCTTTTATTTTTTTGTTTCTATTTTATGTGTTTTGTTTTGTTTCGTTCTCAAACAAAAATTATTATAATGGGGATTTATCAGAGCAAAACTATTCCTGCTTTAGCCAAAAACTGGTACTGCTCTAAACATCAAAGGCGATATTCAGTCTATCTGTGTTTAGAGTCACTTTGTACTCTACAAAGAAAGGAATGAATTGACAACTTTGGCTCATCTATTTATCCTAGAATTTACACATAAATATATCATAATTCTTATCATTACGATTAATCATTGCAAATAAAAATATCTTTAAGTATTTCATACCAATTTATATCTTCGCTTTGCTTGTTTTATCACAGTGCGTATAGGTCTTTATGCGTTGCGTTTTCAAAACAGCTAACTTAAACAGAGGTCTATTCAAGTGTTCCATCTGTCTCGTCATGCGTATGTCATAGCCTTTACAGTGGCCTAATCAGCTAAAGTGAAGTTCACAAACAGCAATTTCTCAACAATTACTTTAATTGTCAAAAAGACTTCTAGAAAAGTAAAGAAAAGGACCAAAGAGCAAAAGAATTTTTTAATTAGTTTTCAGCGAACAGTGTCTCACTTTTTCTCTCATCAGATCATCTTAACATAGTATTGAAGTGTTGGCAGATGTTTCTCTTTACATTTTAAACATTTTAGTCAAAATTTTCTGCATACAATTGCAGGTAATTCAAAAAAAGCAGTTATAGACATGCGTTGAACAATTTTTATTTGTTAGAATACGGTAGTAGGTCTCTGAATTAAAATTGAAGAATTTCATAGAACTTTCATTAATGCCTAAAACGCTTAGATATTAAAACAACACACAAAGTTTTTGCTAATAATACTAAATATTACAATGCCATGATAATATTTAGCATTATTGTGAGATATTTTATGATACAAACTGGTCAAAGTAAAAAACTAGGCAAAATATTTAAAAAAAAAACACGATAAAACAATATCATCGTAAATTTGTTTATAAAGTTATTTTTAATTTATCATCTTTCAAAATGCCATTTATTTCCTGTAATCTCAGACGTACAGCTTTACCCAAGCGATCACAGCAAACATTAATATGAGTATTTAGGGAAGCAGCTCGTTCATCTCTAAAAAATACAGATCGTCAACAATGCAGAGAATGTTTCTACCACATTTTATGTTTGAAAGTTGAAAATTTTTATATTATGTAAAAATCAAACAAAAATTAAAAATTAAACTAAACTCGAAAGCTGAAAATAATTGTAGTTAGCAAGACGTGTGGTTAGATGGGGACTTTTAGCTAATCGAAATGAAGATTGCATGCATGAATAAGAAACTTATCATTATAATAGGAGTGGAAAACTTTAGTTTAGACAAAACAAATAATGTATGTTTCAAAATTTGTGGCAAATGTAAACAAAAGATTTAAAATCCCTTAACAACGAATTTTCTATTTAAACAGCAAAATCGTGGTTTGGTGTCGTTGAGATATTAAAGAAATAAAAACTTTCTTCATACCTGGATAATAATCCTTGTGAAGACACTGGGTTGTTACTTGGTAGTAGTCGTCCACTTTGTGGAAATATTTCATTACTTAAATACAATAAACAAATTTTTCATTAACAATCAAAAAAAATATTGAAAGCGTAACAAACAATTAAAGTCAACATTGTCGTTAGTGAATTGACAGCTTTAAAGACCACAATGAAAAATGGTTTCATGCACAGTTGAGTAAAACAGGTAAATCAATATTAAGCCCTTAATAACCGAGCATGAGGTCTTTACGGAGAAATAACGGACGGAGATGTTTTTGTACAGAACGAGCCCGTAGGGCGAAGTTTGTACAAAAAGACAGAGGTCCAATATTTCTCAGTAAAGACCGAGAAAGCGAGGTTATTAAAAGGATTATTATAAGGCATTATTTGAACTGAAACGAAGCTTGCTTTCTTTCTCGTCTTTGCTGTTTTGTAAGGGTCGACTTTCGCTTTTCTAGTTTTTGTCAGTAAAAAATAAATCGCTTCAAATTGTATCGTCTGGATAGTTAAATTGTTTTACGAGTGTTTTTCTTCGACTCACATTCGTAAATTATTTTTGTTTCGTTTTTTTGCGTTTTGTTGTTTGCTTTACGAAGTTTGTTTACATTTGACTGCAAAATTACGCGTTTTGGATCGTGGTCGATTACGGGAAAATAATGGACCGGCAAAAATATTTCTAAGCCAATCAAAGCGCGCCATTTAGCCGGAAGTGACGCTTGCCATATAATAATATGAAATAAACACAGTTGCATTAACCATAGAAAATTACAAAATTATTTTTTAACCTGTAAAGCCTTACAGTTTATACGTTGTGGGTCTAACTAACCTAGTATCTTCATTCTCCTGTGAAAGAGTGTTGCTTACAAGTGGAAACATTGCATTAACCATAGCAGGCACAAGCATAGTGGGATTGGTTGAGGTCTCTGCAGTGTCATCATCATGGCTAAAAAAAAACATTTTACGTCATCATGGCTAAAGAAAACATTTTACGTCATCATGGCTAAAGAAAAACATTTTACGTCATCATGGCTAAAGAAAAACATTTTACGTCATCATGGCTAAAGAAAAACATTTTACGTCATCATGGCTAAAGAAAAACATTTTACGTCATCATTGTAGGGAATACAATATTCTCATGGAAGAAAGTCATGTGACAAAAAAGATTTATATCATCTTCGTCCTTAAATAAGATCACTCCATCAAAAATTCTGTAATCACAGAATACAGACCACTACCCCCATTTATTGAGCTGGCTATGTCACGGCCATTTATCCAATAGAAGCTATTTATAAGGACATTTTATTGTAAACAAGTGCGAATGCAATAAATATCTATTAAAACTCAGGAAATAAATTAAATGTTTAAATTTTAGACAGCATCTATAAATATAATTTAAAGTTGAGGTAAAATATATGTGTTTACAAAATATTCAAGTTACGTGTATCGATTATGAAACCGACGACAAAGTGATTTTTTTAAATTTTTGGGAGCCATTTTAAGTAAAGACGCTTCGTAAAACAAAAGGATAATATCCATTAATTGGTAAAAAAAGATAAAATGATGGGTGAAAACTAGGTAAAAAGATAAAAAAAAACTACAATATTGTCAAATATTGTACATACAAATCCCTCATGACGTCATCAGCTGGCAGTTCTTGAAGAAGTGCAGGTGGTTCTGGCGGAAGGAGGTCATCAAGAAATGGAATTGTTCTAAAAATAGAAATGAACAAGGTGGGTGTGACCTAACTGCATATACAACGCATGTACTGTAGTTCGGCCATAATAATTAAGTTCATATATGTATATTTTACAGCATAGAGAGAAAGAAAAATTGCATAGCTGTGTGAACAACATTAAGTCAGTAGATAACATGAAATATTTTGAAGAATAGTCTGTTAAACACAGATTTTTGTGTTATTATTGGACAAGTTTTGTGTCAGTGTCCACTGGATAGGGGTTTCATTACTACAAATTATATGAGATTTAATTCGGGACTTTACTAAGTGTCCTATTTAATACAGGGTGTCTGCTTGATGAAGGGCCCCTTAATACAGGTTTGATTGTAATTATTTTAGCTAGTATAGTGCATACATTTATTAATCATCAGAGATTGTATTTGGGCATGTCTAGGTCTGTAAGTGAAATAAAAAGTAAGATACCAAATTATTTCATGCAAAATTTTGTGAGTTCAAAATAAGTCGAAACTAAAGTCATCTGACAAAGATTACTACATTGTTAAATTGAACCACATTGAATATCAGCCTGGGCTAGTGGAAACAGGGTCTAACTTAGAATATATTCATTATCTACTAGAGAGCTGATACCAAACTTACCAAGGTAACCCTAACCTCAATCCCTCCCCCCTCCAATGACAAATGCATTACAATTAATTTAACATGACAGCTGAATAATTATTTTCATATTTTGGATATAGAAGACCATCTTGCCAATATCTTGTATAAGACACTTTATGTTCGAGATATTTAATCAAATTTCTTACAAAGACAACATTATGTTATAGTATGGTATTTGAAATCGTACATTGTCAGTAAAAAAAGATAAAAGTTGAAAATTTTACCTTTCCCTTGATACGCCATGTGTAGCTCTAGCTCCGGCCCAAATGAACTCAAAGCCATCTTTATGCAAACAGGAACCAGTTAATCCATCTTCTTCTATGACAAAATTTAGGTCACTGTTATAATCATCTAAATACACCTTTACATTGTCTTTCCATGAAATCGATCCATTTTTTGATTGCGTCATTTACATAGAATAGACTCGCAGTTAAATGACAATCAATGCTATGATATTCTATCGGTAATTTACCAACCAAATTTATACTTAAGTTTAATCTGTTCTCTATAAAAAAGGAAACCACACAAGAAAGAAGTTATCAATTCTGATCACACACATTTTACAGCTTGCTTACACTTGTGTTTACATCTGCCATAAAATTATAATATTAGAATCACAAGGTTAAATAGTTGGAATGTTATTAAACAAAAAGAATGATAGCACAGCGCTATAACCAACAACTACAAACAATAACGACCTTGTCCAACAACATTTGAGAAATTAACCTTCCACTCCTCTTCCTTGTAAACCAGACAAGTCTGCTCAAAAGCAGCGAGTCTTATACGCTACAAGTCCCGGGCTTGTGACCGGTATAGCAGAGTTAAAAGGTGAAAGGTTTATCATAGATTAATCAACTGAATATTCCTGCTCATTTTTTGTTTGGAAGCATGTTGAACAGTTCATATGGACAAAGCTCGAATTCCATATTAAATATCAGTAACATAATCCGGTGTTAATGTTAGACAATACATCATTGCCCTTCAGTGAAAGCATCCCGCTTTCCACTGGAAAAGAATCTAATATCGATGTTAAACATAGATTGTTACAAGCATCCCGCTTGCCAATAAGTATAAGCCCGGGACTTGTAGCGTATAAGACTCGCTGCTTTTGAGCAGACTTGTCTGGTTTACAAGGAAGAGGAGTGGAAGGTTAATTTCTCAAATGTTGTTGGACAAGGTCGTTATTGTTTGTAGTTGTTGGTTATAGCGCTGTGCTATAATATTAGAATCCCGGATTATAATATTTTAGATCCCGGATATTAAAATATGATATAATATATAATATTAGAATCCCGGATTATAATATTATAGATCCCGAATAATTTATAACAAAATGGTTATAACGCATCATTGTAACGCACCCTAAAAAAAGTTTTAGAAAGTAAAATTTTACTGTTCTCACGAATAACTAGACAGCATTGTCGTGATACATGATACCTTCCCTTCCTCAATCTTTGGTCTCGTAGGGCAAATTACATAAAGTAGTAGACGAATTTTTAAAGATGAGATAAAACTACAATCTGATAAACTGCACGATATAACACAAAAGACAATAATATCAAAATATTATATTGTTCCATAGTTTCAACTGGTGGTTGTCAATGATGCTATTCAAAGCCTCCGCACGGACAGTCCATCTTGTAAGAAAAATTTCTTAATCAATTTTGTTAACTCGTGTGTTCTGTCCAGAGCGTCTCGCATAAGTTTGCTTCCTTTTTTGGTAACACCACAGGCCAAGTTAAGCGAATGACGTAACAAAGAGTGAAAACGGCTTTTTGCTATTTTCTTTGCAATCTTGTTGCCACAACGGAATTCTGTCCGCGTATTTTTGACATAGCAAGATTCTATCGCTTAAAAACATCTGTGTTAACACCGTAAATACTTTCAGCATCACTTGATGCGACTTGGTCCAAGCCAACCAGCTCTTTAGCAACTTCAAAGCTTTCACTAACACGTTTGAACAAGATTACCACTTGCTCTACATTTGAGGAGAGTGTTGTTTCAACAACCATCGCGGTGAAGAATGGTAGAACAGACTAGACACAAAGATCGAGCAATTGATATTGGAGCGGCTAATGATAGGTTTATTGGTATTTCTCATGGAACAACACACAGTATTGAAAAATTGGAAACTGAAGGACCACTTTGCTGTTAGTGTTTCCTTGATCGGAAGAAGCAATTTACTGGCTTCATTGTGGCAATACCGCGTGAAAAAGATATGCGATGAAAGATTTCTGTAAAAAGGCAATACTGTTTTTCATTTTACTGTGTTCCAATCCATATCATGACTGACCTGAGGCAGCGCTATAGCTAATGGTGATGCTCGTTCGTTCGTTTGAAACGCATAGCAGTTTATTAGATTTCACAAATGGAGCTTTTAGACTGACTGAATATCTTTTGCCGTTGTCTTCTCTCATATCAAAATTATATACAGGGCTGTAAAGCTACTTTTGGAAATACTTCCAGTTTTAGTAAGCACTTGCATGATCTCTTGTGATCATATTGTGAAATACACACATGAGTTTATTTATCCATGGCTATAGGAATATCAATACAGTTACAGTTGTTCAAAATTCCATCTACAATTTTAATTGTTAATTTAGCTACAAGTGCAACATTATATGAAACTTTAGCAGTTTACTAACTGTGATTATTATGTAGTGTTAGATCAGTCAAATCGAGCTGATCTACTTGAAAATAGAGGAGTGAAATGTGCTTAATTCATGATAAGAATTTTCATTGACGAAAACAACTTAATAATTAAGTTTATTCATAAATCCATAGCATTTTGTCACAACCATTATTACTTTCATTTATTGAAAATTCTGAGAAAGAATTTCTTCACTACATTCCAAAACGTGGGAGCACTTAATGTATAGAGGAACGGATTGATGGCCGAGTTAATGGGCACAGCAAAAATCATAAATAATTTCTGAACACGATAATATTTTTCGATATCTATAAAAAAAAGTGTTGAAACGGGAATCCAGCAGCAGACATCTATAACAATAAAGCTATATGTTAATATAAAAACACAATTACAGACGCAATCAAAAGTTACCATGAAAACAACATTAAATTATATCCCTCACGCTCACAAGATTCAATTATCATGAAATATTTTTTGATTGTATCCAAACCAAGGTTGAATCGGTGATTTATTAATATGCATTATTTCTTCAAAAACGTCAAAATAGATAGAATAGCTGACGGTTGCCAAATATTTTTTGTTTTAAATCAAAATATCACACACCCCACATACAAAGTTGAACGTTACATGCTGGACTGCCTAAGAGGAGAGGTGATTTGATCTTGCCCCGTCAACCCAATCAACACGGTAGCTCCGATTTGAGGGAAGATCTCAAATTCCATTTTTATTATATTTTTATGTTTATGTACTTTCTACAGTAACATACATGACATGAGATATAATGTAGCTGATTGTTTACAGAAGACTCTCATTCAACAAAATGGTCAGTATCGTGACTTGCATGTGGCATTCTCACACAAAAATTTGCAATTTGGCTCAATCAAAATAAATCTATCTTGAGCTTGAGATCCCATTTCCAAATATGTTTTTCTGTGTTGGGGTCAATTATGTTTCCATAGACAAAATCGAATTTATCAAATTGAATTTTTTATTTTTTCATTTACCTGTGAAAACAATTG